CCCCACCCCCGGCCCCGCCTCAGCTCCGCCCCTTCCCCAAATCCCCAGCCCTGCCTCCTCCCCCCAGGCTCTCAAGCCTAGGAGAGAGGGGGAGAAGCGGCGTGCGCGCCGCGGCCACTCAGAGTCTCCCCCTCCCTCCCAGGCTCTCAAACCTGGGAGGGAGGGTGAGCAGCGGCGTGCAAATCAGCTGTTTCGCGCGCCGCGGCCGCTCGGGATCTCCCCCTCCCTCCCAGGTTTGAGAGCCTGGGAGGGAGGGGGAGCAGCGGCGCGCGAGCGGCAGCAGCGGAGGTGAGCTAGGGCGGCCGGGCCACATTTTTAGGGGTGGCATTCTGGCGCCGGCCATGCCGCCCCTAAAAATGTGCCGCCCCAAGCACCAGCTTGTTTTGCTGGTGGCTAGAGCCGGCCCTGCTTAGGACCATTGGTTCTGTTACTGTGCTATAGAAAACAATCAGGGGCCCTTTCAGAGATATTGCCTTGGTTGGTTGGTTATAGAGATGGGATACAAAAGAGGTATAAAAGTTCTGTTCTTTTTATGTGTACTTGCTGCTGGAATAAGCTAGTGAAGAGATCTGTATTTGATATACTGAATACTGTTCAAAGCTTGAGAAACAGCACTCAGCTTTTTTCCATGTTGACATGATTTCAACAACATATGAAACAAGGAACATGGCACGTTGCTGTTTTGCAAGCACCAAATGAAAGCAGAAGCTGCATCTATCAGCGGATCTGCTTGAATTTATGTGTGCTATATTTATTTGGCTTTCCTCAGTGCATACTGGTATCCGTACATACTCTACCTGCTGAAAACGTTTCATTTCATTTCATTTTTTTAATTAGGGATTGATGACACAAATGCTCTTGTTAAAAATCTGATGTGGAGCATGTTTCATGCACTATTGAAAAAATCAGCTGCCAAAATGCAGAAGAGAGGGTTTTTTTTCAGTATTCCCCCTGGAAAAGACTGCTATTGATACCTAACTACAGAAACAAGGCAATGTGCCATGTCCTCTTTAATGAATCTGTTTAACAAACAAAATATTGTCTACTGTTGGGGGGGGGGGGAGATTCAGTTAAAAAGACAACAGTAACTAAGACATTTTTACAGTTAAAAATATGATGATTAGAAAACAGAGTTGTATTTGTCTTAATTGACATTTTCAGCAGTGGATGTTGTGTTTTCTTAAATTACGGAAGGCTAATGCTGCTGTTTGCTGACATATTAAAAATCTTGAAAAGTTTAAAATAACAGATGAATGGATTAAATGATTTTTGTAACATGACCGTAGTTCAGACTCAGGGGCATTTCATATCTTCAAATTGCAAAACTACTAACATAGCTCAGGACTTAATCAAAACAACCGTTTCATAAGTGCAGGGATACTTATAGGGTATCTGGTTATGGTGTTGTGTACAATTCTTTCATGCCTGTTATAGTATCATGAGGTATGGGGGGGGGGTGTATACACACACATTAAGTCGTTAGTTGTGTGTGTGTGTAACCACACAAGTTTTGTGTAATTGTGATTCCATAGAAAATTATTTGCACGTAACTTATGGAAGTACAAATACACAAAACTACTGTGGTTATGTGTCTACTTGTTAGTGTACACTAATTAGTCTACAGCAAAAAATAGATGTGAATAATGGAAGCAAGAAAAGATCAATTAGCATAATCTGCAAAGATTTTATCAGGAAATTAATTCATTGATATTTATATCCAAGGTATTATTATAACGATCATTATGACAATTTTTTTAAATTGCTGTTACCTTTGAATTGGCAAATTCCTATAACTTTATTGTAAAATATAGTGTGTCCATTATTGTAGATCTGATGAGTTCATAGGCCATGTGAATTCTGACCAAAGACCTTCCCGTTTTATGCCATTAGCAATCTTTTAACCTTTAAAAAAACTGAGCTATATTTATCCTTCAGTGTTCACATACAACTCCCTAATGTTAATAGAAATTAGATTAATCTATTGATGGGAGAATTGATCTCTAACTACTTAATATAGTGTGGGGTTTTTATGTTTCATTTTCCACAAATTTTTTTTGGTAGCAAAAACCAAGTGAGGTTTAGTGCTAAGGAAATTGAGGGGTTGATTCTGCATTAGCTAGAATCATAGTGTGAGTAGTCATGGTTTAAGCTTTCCTCTATATCACTGCCAATGCGTTTCAGTCCGATCTGAATTACCCCTTACTATTTCAGTCTTGGGTTCTCACACCACTGCTCTGCTAATATACCTCAGTGCTACAGCGCCCCGTGGCATTACACTTCCAAGTATCTCTTGAGCAGAGATTGCTGATTTTTGTTGAATTGGACCAAATTGTATTGTTCTTTTGTGAGGTAATTTTCTTGGAAATTGTGTTGTAAAACTGATTATTATTTCTATACTAATATGGGAGAGTTTCTTTCCATGGTACAACTGCACTGATCTGTTGTATGTTTGTTAATTAATTTTCAGTTTTTCTTATGATTCTTCAGAAAAAAGCTGTAAAAATTATAATAATAATACAGTGAAACCACTTTATTAAAAAACTAAGCTATGGATTATTATAGTGTTAGAAAAATAACACCTAATATAACATGTGTAAACACAATAATCTAATTTTATTGCTAATCATGTTCTCTTCTAACAGACATCTGTGGGCGAGAGTCTACAAAAAGAAGCATTAAAAAAGCAAGTAATGAAGCAAGTAAGTTGGGGTGTGGGAGTCCTCATGCATATAAGAAAGTAAGAAATTGCTGTCATTAGTAACCATGCCAGCTAACAATGTTTTGCCCTTGCTAGCAATCTAGGCCGGCTGTCTTCCTGTAACCACTTCAGCACACAGGTTTTTTTCAGTGTGGATAAGACGACTCCCTTCTTAACCATGCATTTGTAACTATGGTCAGTCCCCTTTACTCCCAGTTCTCCATGCATCAGTACATCCCAGAATGCATTGCCAGACATGCTGCAGTGTGGGCAAGTCCTTTGGGTACTCTGTCCTCAGATTTTCCCAGAATTCATTGATACCAACACAGTTAGGCTATGTGATGTATGCACAAACATTATGTACAACTTTTCTACCTCATACAATGGCTGAAATGTGAACATAATTCAAATGTTATTTGCAACCAGGTCAGATAAAAGTATATGTAATAAGATTGTACTTTTACTGTGGTCAGGGCCTTATAGAGAGTGTCATTTACTATTTGTAGTTCTAGGTTTTTACGTAGGTACACTCTTGAAAGTTAGGATTAGTTGTAGTTGGACTGACCTGTTTATGATCATGGTCAAAGGTACACATTATAAGGCATCTGGATCATTATATCCATTGGGAATGTGCTTTCCAAATCATTGTAAGAGCCATAAGAATCTAAGAATGGGGATCTATAGTAACCTACCTTTAGAGAACTGAAATTATAGCTAAGTAATAATGGTCTTTGTTTGTTTGACTTTTTAAGAAAAGAACACATACACAAAAGCTGGTTCTGTGTTACTACACAGCAGGCTGTGAAGCAAAAAATGGCAGAAATATAATTAGTTTATTTCATGTTTAGAACTAATGTTTAAAAATTGGCTCAAACATGGTGATTTTCTACATCACATCTGCAATGCAAGACCTTCTTTAAAAACAGATTTAGAATTCTCTAGTTCCAGTTTAGCAAATGTGAAGTAGGAGTCTTTCTCCTAACAAAGGCTGTTTTTTAGCTTCCATGTTTTTACGGGTGTAATAAATTATTCCACTTATCTGAAAAAGACTGTTCTTGGGATTCTTTGGCTGTGTCCAGGAGTAGTTGAAAAATAGCCTAATGCAAACTTTGTAACTGAAGTTTCCATAGAGCTGAAAATAGTTTACAACACACAATAAAACTTGAAGAGTTACTTAATACACACACCGTAAAACCATGAAAAGTTGCATTTTTTTCTGTGCGTAGAATGTAGTGATCCTTTATTGAATGAATATTTTAAACAACTTTTTTTTGGAGGGAGAATGTAATATTTTAGGGAAATTAAAGATGATAAAAAAGTGATGAGTTCTTGTATAATGGAGTTCTTGCCAACAATGAGTCTTGTCTTGTATTGTATTCAGGGGTAAGTTGTCCAGGAGGAACATGATAATTCTGTAGAGAGACCCAACTATCGGAAAACAATTACACTTAGCCCAGACATAATACAAGGTTATTTATAGGAGGTAAAGTGCACAGGATAAAGTTCTGTAGATGACCTATAGGAGTATATTTAGAGAAAACTATGTAGAAAAATAGATGGACAAATTGGCTAAACTTTTTATTATTTGTATTTATTTAAAAAAAATCCATCTGAGCTAGGAATATTATTCAATGGGTAATTCTCCACTAAGCAGGATCCATAATAGCTCAATTGCTGTAATTATGATGTTTTCTCATTGTACTCTATTCCTTATCTCATAAATATCCTTCTTATAATTACTCTTATTTTTAGCTCTGATACCAAACAAAGGACTTTGTATATGGAGTCGTGGTGAATTTATGTTCAGTTTCCTAGTAGATTTATATCATGAGCTAATCTAGTTAAAGCAAAATATATGAATACAAAGTTTTAAAAGCTGAAAATTGCATGCTTCATTACTTTGTGTTTCTCTTTTTTTTTTTTAAGACCAAACTTGAGATTCAGAAGGCCTTGGCAGAAGACTCCACAGTGTATGAATATGACAGTATTTATGATGAAATGCAGCAGCAGAAGAAAGAAAGTAATGCCAAAGTGCTCTCAGGAAAAGATGACAAAAAGGTCCATAACTGAAAATGTATGCTGTCTGTGTTACCTCTGTATCCTAGGAATAACCAGGGCTAGTTAACTGATTTTACTACCTTTTTTGATATCCTAGTAACCCGTTGTGCATTCTGTAGCAGGGCCCACATGTGTTGTGCTCAAAATTGTGTTATATAAAATTGTGATGTTGTAAGACTGGTAGTTGTAAGGTGTTGTAAAACTGGTTGTTCATCAAATATTTCAGGACTCTAGTCCCATTTCATTCTGTCGTTGATTGGGAGGACAACAGGCTCTGTCCTAGCTTCCCACCCATAAATTCTGTGGGACAAGGACCACATGAATTTCTGGAGAGCCTGTTACAATGGGATAATCTTGATAGAGCCTTTAGTCACTACAACAATACTACTACTATTATTATTTATTATTGTTAATATTATTATTATTTATTTATTATTCATTATTAGTATCAGGCAACCCAACTGAATGGGGGAAGGGCTGTCTTTGGGCAACCTGACCGAATTTTGTAGCAATGAGGATACTCTGTCTGCCTCTCGCTAGTCAGCTGCTATAGGGTCTGTCAAGAAGCTAAAGTAATTATATTTCATCTATAACATGTGAACCATTTTCTACAGCCCAATTCCTTATTCCAGAAAATGGCTGAATTATTGTGACAAATCACACTTTCATTATTGCTCATTACATTTGGTAATGGAGTGTTTGTCAGGCTCTGATAGGTCTAAATGAAGAATGCATCCCATTCCCTTATAGCAAGTTGAAGAGGGAGAGAACTATCACAAGACGGAAAAATGCTGGAAGAAAGGTTGTATTGCAAGCATTTGATTTCAGCCTGAGCAGCAGTACATCACTTGAAGCTAGGCTCGGATTTTTGTTGAATGCAGCTGTTTCATTCATGAGGAGAAAATCCCCATGATCTGGAGCTGACAGATGTTTATATTAGTTCATTGAGATCATTGTCCCCGCAGTGGCAACAGCATAAACTAGCTGGGCTGACTACTGCCATTTTTGTTCCACGAAAAACGGATTTTTTTTAGGGTACCCAGCAATTCTAATTTGTCTTTTCTTAGCCACCTTGATTCCATCTCATGACTCTTTTTCCCCCCCCTTAGCCCAAATACATCCAAAATATCCTCAAAGCAGCTGAGGTAAGAAAGCAGGAGCAGGAAAAAAGAATGGAAAAAAAAATTCAGAAGGAGCGTGAAATGGAAGGGGAAGAGTTCGATGACAAAGAGGCCTTTGTGACATCAGCCTATAAGAAGAAACTGCAAGAAAGGGCTGAGGAGGAGGAAAGAGAAAAAAAGGAAGCCGCACTGGAGGGTGAGATTTACGCTGAACCAATAGGACTCTCCCTCCAAAGGAAAGTGTGGCCTTTTGCTGTTCAAGAGAGTGGTCATGGGTGTGATGCACAGAATTTTCATCCTGGTCTCTGAATTAGGCTGTAGATGGGGTTCTGTAGTAGTCATCATAGAAATGTAAGGCTGGAAGGGACATCAAGAAGTCATTTCATTTACCTCCTGTGCTGAGACGGGATTAACCATCCATGTATTTTTGACAGATTTCCATGCCTCTTGCCCCCACCTTTTATTTTCACCTGTTTTTTGTCCAATGAGTTGGTCGCATGGTTTTGAGCGTCTCTTCTATCCTTCCCAACCTTTCCAGGGCCCCTAACTATCATTTTTGGACACATGCCATGGGGGGAGGAAATACTTTTAAAATTTATTTTTCTCTACTAGAACCATTGAAAATAAATTAATACATGTACATTTCATGTCTTTTCCATATTTTAAGAGGGAAATATTCTTTTTATACAATTAGTACAATTCTAAATAAAGCCATTAAATAATTGCTTTAATGACAGAGGAATAAAGAAATGTTAATACACACATGTATTTATCGATTGTAAGGCCAAAAGCACAGAGAGCTCTGTGACCATCTAAAGTGACCTCCTGTATAATACAGACCATAAAACGTCCCAGAATTAATTTTTGTTTGAACTAGAGCAGATCTTTTAGAAAAACATCCAGTCTTGATTTTAAAATGGCCAGTGATGGCGGATCCACTATGACCCTTAGTAGAGGGTTCCAGTGGTTAATTACTCTCTCTGTTAAAAATGGCAGGTTTCAGAGTAGCAGCCGTGTTTGTCTGTATCCGCAAAAAGAACAGGAGTACTTGTGGCACCTTAGAGACTAACAAATTTATTAAAGGTGCCACAAGTACTCCTGTTCTTTCTGTTAAAAATGTGTAGACTGAATTTGTCTAGCTTTCAACTTTCAGCCATTGGATCTTGTTGTACCTTTGTCTGCTAGATTGAAGAACCCATTATTACATTTTTGTTCCCATATAGGTACTTAATAAACTATGAACAACTCACCACTTAACCTTCTCTTAAACTAAATAGACTGAGCTCCTTGAGTCTATCATTATAAGGCATGTTTTCTAATCCTTTAATCATTCTCGTGCCTTTTCTCGGAACTTTCTGCAATTTATCAACATCCTTGAATTATGGGCACCAGAACTGGACACAGTATTTCAGCAGTGGTCGTACCAGTGCCAAATACAGCAGTAATGTAACGTCCCTGCTCAGATTCCACTGTTCATATATCCAAGGATTGCATTAGCCCTTTTGGTCACAGCATCACACTGCGAGCTTGTGTTCAGCTGATTATCCCCATGTCCCCCAAGGCTTTTTCAGAGCCACTGCTTCTCAGGATAGAGTCCCGCATCTTGTAAGTATGGCCAACATTCTTTGTTCCCAGAGGTATATGTTTATGTTCAGCTTGAGCCCAGTTTACCAAGCAATCCAGATCACTCTGTATCAGTGACCTGTCCTCTTAATTATTTACCATTCCTGCAACCTTTGTATCATCTGCAAACTTTATCAGTAATGATTTTGTTGTTTTTTTTCAGGTCATTGATAAAATGTGAAATAGAATAGGTCCAAGAACCGATCCCTGAGACACCCCACTGGAAACACATTCCTTGTTTACAATTCCATTTTCAGACCTGTCAGTTAGCCAGCTTTTTAATCCATTTAATGTGTGCCATGTTGATTTTTATATCTTTTTAGTTTTTTAATCAAAATGTCATATGGTACCAAGCCAAATGCCTTACAGAAGTCTAAGTATATTACATCAACATTATTATTTTTATCAACCAAACTTGTAATCTCAAAAAAAATCAGGATTAGTTTGACATAATCTGTTTTCCATAAACCCATGTTGATTGGCATTAATTATATTATCCTTCTTTAATTCTTTATTAATAGAGTCCCGTATTGGCCATTCCATTATTTTGTTTTGCCAAGGATTGATGACAGGTGTACAGTTACCTGGTTGTCCCATTTACCCTGTTTAGATATTGGCACAACATTTGCTTTCTTCCAGTTTTCTAGAACTTCCTCAGTGTTCCAAGACACATTTGAAAATTAACATTAACAGTCCAGCAAACTCCTTCGCCAGCCCTTTTAAGCTCTTGGATGTAAGTTATCTAGACTTGCTGACTTTTAAAATGTCTAACATTCATTGCTGATGTTTAGCATCCTCCCAAGTTACTATTGGAATGGAAAGTGTTTTTAATTATCATCCTGTATTATGAGTACATCATCTTGTTTTCCCCAAATACCAAAAAGAAATATTTATTTAACACTTCTGCCTTTTCTGACTTGTCTTTTTATATTTTAGCCCACCTCTGTAAAGGAGGATTTTGTATGATATTGATATTCTCTGGAGCCTAAACTTTCTCCACGTTTTGTAAATTATATCCCTGTAAACTGTTTTTACAGTTTTTTGTTTGCATGTTTTGGAATTAATTTATTTAGGCAAAGTTTTAAAAACAAGCCAATGGTAATTTAAAAAAAAGTTAGGATAGTATATCTTTTAAACATTGTATTATGCAGTGTTGTTGTAGCTGTGTCAGTCCCAGGATATTAGAGAGACAAGGTGGGTGAGGTAATATCTTTTATTGGACCAGCTTCTGTTGGTGAGAGAAATTGTTCCAATAAAAGATACTACTTTACCTACCTTGTCTCTCAAACATTGTATTGTAATTTTTAATTCACTAGACCTTTTCCTCTTTGGTTAAAACAAAACCAAATGCTTATGAGTGGTAAGAGAGGAGTGCTAGGTGTTAGTTTGTGTACAAGGTATACTATACCATGTCAAGTTTTATATAAGCACAGAAAAATTAATTCTTTGGGGCTGCTTCAATGTGAAGATGAAAAATAATAGTTTTGCACATAGCTCTACAAAGATGTTAATACGTTTTGATTATATATAAAACTTTCTTGGACAACTCTGAAAGCTGCTGGCTGTAGAACAACTATGCCCAGTACATATGTAACCATTATATTTTCTCTGTATATTAATAATACTTGTGTGTGTGTTAACACATCTCCTTTTTTCCTATCCTAGTAAAACTAACTGAATAAAAAGTGTATTTCCCTCTTAAAATGAAAAAAACGTACAAAATCTATATTCATTCATTTATTTTTAATTTTTCCAATAAGGATAAATTAAATACATTTTAATTTTTTTTCCAAAATGGCCAATAGCACCAAAAATGCATCTGTTAACAACTATCCCTAGGGGCCCTGGAAAGGGAGGTGGGACTTCCAAAACCATACAGCCAACTCAGTGGACAAAGAGAGGGCAGGACTAAAGGTGAGGGCGTGGAAAGCTGTCAGAAATCCATGGTGATGAAAGGTATGGAATTCTAACTACTTACAGTGAAGGAAGAGCAGAGAGTAACACACTGGACTGAATGAGAGTGCACTTTGTGACTGTAGTTTACCCTGGCAGATCGCTGTGGGATGTGAGGGAATAGAGTAGAACCTCACTCATAATATCAGTACTGGTTGCATGATTTTTGCACCTGGAAAGGAGTAGCTGTTAAAGGGAGAATAGTGAGTCAGTGTTGCTTAGGAAGAGGCTGCAGCAATATTAGTAGCAATTGTCATGCCAGATTTACAGTCACGTCGTATCCCAGAGATTAGGATAACTGTTTTTAGCCTTAAAGCAGTAGCCAGCATAACTAGAATGGAAAATAATCAAGTCTGGTAGACTTACTTTCTTCTACATTTTCAATGTCCTGAGCATCTCTTTCTGGATTATGGGTTTACCATATGTAAATAGGGTCTGGTTAATGCTCATGAAACTGTAACATCATTCTTATCTTGCTTCCCTTAGCATGCCTGGATGTGACCAAACAGAAGGATCTCAGTGGATTTTACAGACATCTTTTAAACCAGACAGTGGGGGAAGAAGAGGTGCCCAAATGCAGCCTCCGTGAAGCCAGGTAGGACATAGTTCCAGAAGGACTTTATATGTAAAGTTTCTTCATGCTGTTCATAATTCCCAGTGTCAGTAGAATCCTAGTAAGAAGAATGGCAGTACCAAAGCACAGGTGGGGGAGGAGCTTGCTTTCCAGAGTTGACTACACCATCCTTTGGAAAATGAAAAATCATCATCATTGGGTGAAAGTATAGAATAGGAGAAGGGTTAGTAGGGTTAAGGAGATACTTACACTGGTAATACATTCTAGCATTATTCTAAGCTAGTTTTTAATTTAACATTGTATAATTTTTAATAAGCCACATTAAACCAAAAGTTTTGCTACCAGAGGCAGAGCAAGAGAAAGATAGTTTTGGGCTCAGGTGGATAATGATATTTAATGGTTGTGCAACTTCATTTTATCACCCACTGGAAAATTGGAACACATGAGTCTCTGTCTTTGTAGCTGACAGCATTTAACCATAAATATGAAAAAATACTTCAGTTTTCTTGATTTGCTTAATACTTGTGACAAAAGGAAAGCAATCAAATTTACAGCAAGTCCATTGGGAATATTTTAAATTTTACATGTACTGTGTACAACAAAATAATTAAATGGCGCTGTGTTTTCGGGCCAATATAGAAGGAACACAGTTGGGCCGTCTCTGGCTGAGATGCTGGCTGGGTTTTTTAATTTTACTGAAGGCGTTAGCAATCAATGACCACTCAAGGCACTTCATCCAGGTTAAAACTAATTTGTTGGGACCTTAGAAAGTCCTCAATGATTAGGTGTGTGTGCTGTATCCTAAGACTATGAATATTACCTTGAATCAGGAGGCTTCCTGGGACTGAAATTGAATGGAGTCTCAAATTAGTTCTTAGTTAAAGTGAGGAAGGTTATCTCTTTAGAGCTACTCATCCTATTGAGAGACAAGACTTCTGGCTGGTATTTATTGTGAGGCTGTGCCACCACCTCAGAAATAACAGAGAAAACTAGGGGAAAACATAGCAGGAGGTCAGCATACTTACCAGCATACCTCCATCAGTCAGATATAAAATGGCCAAGTTAGGGCTACTCTAAGATTTAAAGGACCAGCTGCTACAACAGTATGCTCTTCTAAAGCAGTTCTGTATCAGGCTTAAGTTTCACCAGCAAAGTGTATATCTTAAGAGTAACAACAAAACTCTTCTTCTGTAATAGTAAAATGAACTGTGCTTTTCATATTTGCCTGTTTATGAAGCCATCCATATGCTACTGGCTGATTTAGCTATGCTTATGAAGCAATGGCAGTAGTGATTAACCCACTTGGTATTGTATTTGCTTGAACAATTCTCTCAGTTTGAAACTGCAGTATTTAAGTGCAGTTATGTTCAGAAAAGTGACTTTCAGAATGGTGGCTTCTTAGTCAGCGTATCTGTTTTCTGGGTGTTCAGACCATAATTATTTACTGGAAACAAGTTTTGCTGCTCTGAGTCCTATAGAACTAATTAATCTATGGGAAGACAAGTAGGAATCTATTCTGCTGAATCCAACAAAACTGTCAGCTGAGTTGTAGATTTTTGTGGATTTTTTTCATTAAGCTGGTGTAAGGTACAGAAAGAAAACATCTCGATTTCCAGATGTCAGACAGAATTTGCAGAACTGCCAAATAGAAATTTCACCTTTGACTTATAAACTTCATCATTTAGATCTGGAAGATCATTTAAAGAGAATAACTATGGAATACTACAGTGTAATTTTTAGAGTCATTTTCCCAAGAATAACCATGCTTTAAACCACGGATCAAAGTTTCAGCCTAACCAGATGGTCCACTGATTCCCAAGGAGTATTTACCACAGACTGTTGCTGTAGCTACATGATTAGTGAAAACAGACATGCGGGCTATGGAATTAAAAGTACACTTTATCGGTCAAAAAAGACTGCGGTATTGTAACATTTTGGGGCGTGGTCCAAGTTTGATATCTGAGAGTTTGTCCCACATTTCCTGTTTTATTATATTTAACAAGTTAAGAACTGTAGCAAGATGCTAGTGTCAGTTTAACCACAAGAGTGAGATCCTAGCCAACAAGCACAGAGAGTCAGGAATATTGTGTTGCAATTTAAAGCTTGTAGTGTCTTATGAGGACGTATGTTTACCATGAGTTCTATTTACAGCTATTACTGAAATAATGAGAGTTGTATTTGTAACTCTCAGACACGAAAAAAAAAATTCCCTCTTCTTCCTCATATGGAACTATGTGGCATGGGTAGGATTGTGAGACACTTAGGAAAGGGTGTGCCGTGTAGATAATATTACCAAGATACAAATCTGTGTCCTGTCCTTTAAATAAGGATGATAGATCTGTAAAACTACTCATTCTTGAAATTCAAACCCTACTTTTTCAGTGTATTGAAAATCAAAGCTGCTGTTTTCTAGGACATATACAGTACCAAAGAACCTGATACAAACTTTCAATACAAATCCCTCAGAGTTGGAATATTAGAACTGGAACAGTAGACCAGATTTGACTGCTTAGAATTTTCAGCTGCATCACTTCTTAACAGTGTTGCTCAAGTCCCAACAAGAAGTCACAAACTCCAGAATAGTTTGACACTGCAGGCTATGTAATATCTTTTTTTTTCCCCCTCCCACAACAACAACAAATAATCTAGGATAAAGGAAGAAAAATCTACCACTAATTCAGATGAATCCATCCAAAGAAACAAAAGTCCAGATGAGAGACCAAGACTTAGAACCCCTGCTAAGGAAGAAGATAACCCAGATGCGGACAGTGACTTAGAAAGTGATAGTAGTGATGATGATCATAAAAATAGCAGAGCTAGTTCTAAAAAGAAGGAAAGTCGAGACAGCTCTGAGAGCAGTGAGAAGGATTCCAAACATCACAGGAGCCGGAAACACTCCAGCTCATCAGAGTCTTCCAGTGAGGAGGGAAGTCACCACACAAAAACCCATATAAATCGTCCTAGGAGAGGAGAGAGTGGAATAGGTAGAAGGGAAAAAGATGAGCACCACAAGGAAAGGGATCATGAGAGAAGAGATAGAAACCAGGAAAAGGATCGCCGGAGGGAAAAGGAAGACCGACATAGATATGGGGATCATACCAGTAAAGATACCTACAGAAAGAGGGATGAGCCGGAGGACAAACAGAGGGGGAAAGATAAAAAAGAGAGAGATGGATATGACAAAGAAGGTAGGAAAGAGAAAGAGAGGGAGGACAAGAATTCAGAAAGGGAACGAGAAAAAGAGCGACTAAGAAATGGCAAAGACAGATACAGTGATAGAGAAAGAGGGGAAAAATGCAGAGAAAAGGAGGAACATTTGAAGGAAAAGAGAGAGAGAGATGACAAAGATGACAAGAAATACAGGGACAGGAAGGAAAGTAGTCCTCGAGCCTCAGAAAGGGACAGGGACAAGAAGCAAAGTAGCCCTAGATCCTTAGAAAAAGACAGACCGTGTGACCAGGAGAAAGAGGCAAAGGACAGAAAGAGTAATGATGAGAGAATCTCATGCTCTGAAAGATTTCCTGAGCCAAAAGGTAAGGATGAAGAAGAAGGGCAAAAAGGTGCAGAGCAGATGGAAAAAAAATCTCTGTGTGTGAGCAAATTTGCCAAGCGGAGCAGTGAAGAGACAGTGGTATCAGCAAGGGATCGCTACTTGGCTAGGCAAATGGCACGAGTTAGCACAAAATCCTATATTGAGAAAGAAGAAGATTAGCTTCTTTTCAGTGGCCATAAACCAAGAGATGATCCACTTTCACTGGTGGAAAAATCACTGCAGCAGGAACTCTGTGTTGAAGTGAAAGTATTTCCTGACCATTTATTTCTGGGGTTTTTTAAACTCAGTAATTTAATAAAACAAACTTCTGTTTTGAAATGTTTTGATGGTCTTTGTACATTCATCCAGTCAAATGTACAGGCAAGGTGTTTAATTTGACTGGTTCTGTCCATCATGGCCTTCAGCCTCTGCTTGCTCTATCATTTATTCAAAGACAGGGAGTCACACTTATGGATTCTAAACTGATACAGGTGAGAATACCTCAATGCCAGCCTGCATATAATCCTTATCAGCTAATACCAGTACTACCCCTCTTCTGGAGTAGCAGCATTCTCAGACATTACTGTCAGATCTCACTGTCCAGAGAAGTTAACAGAGAGTGTGCAGGAGAGAGAACTTTAAAGAGAGGGATATGCAAGCAAAATAAACAGAACAATAATTTAGGTGACCCTGTATGTTTTGTGGTATTTTGTAAACCAGGTAAATTTCATCTGGACATATTTGGATTTGAACGTATATAACATATTCGTGGTTTTTTGTTTGTTTCTGGTGCTTGATGTACAGAAATATTTAAATAAAATGTAAGTTATGTACTATATTCAGTGCTTAAATCTTTCTTTGATGCCTGTACTTTGCTAACCTTTAGTGGAAATAGCTGCAGTATTGCTTCCTTATGAGACAAATCAGTTATATCTTTCCACTTCATGTATTACAGTCATACCTGCTTATTGTGCTATAGTTAATATGTTAAACTTGCCAGAATAAACCCATTTTTTCAGGGATTTATAGAACAGTAGTAAAAGTCACTCTAAACCGTAACTTGGCAAGTAGGAAATCTGGCAAAGATCATATTTTTAAATTATACTTTCAGCAATCCTCCTGGTAGTTTTTATACTTTTTTCCTGGAAAGTGTATATCTTTTACTTAACAGTGGCTGTGCCAGCGTCAAGAATTTAGGCTTCAAAGGGGCTGAAAAGATGGTTTAGACATTCTAGATATAATTTTACTGCATTCCTGTAATGTAAAAACAGATTTTTAAAAACCCTAATAAACATTGCAGCTGACCACTTGCATGGAGCCTCATTACTTTGAGTGTTTTCAGGCTAAATTATATGGCCAAGATACTGAGATTTAGAGTATGTTTACAATACCCATGAGAAGGGTTTTTCTATATTAAGAATGGGATTGAGTTCCGACAAGCCATTTAATCAGTCTGTAACTGACTCAAGATATCTGGGGTGAAATTATAACTAACCAAAAAGAAATGTGTCCATGACTTTCCATTGTCTGATCCTGTATCTTTTTCCAATTCATTACAATTATTTATTTCCCCTCGAAAAAAGCCCCGATTTTTGCATTCCTTGTGGATCCAAAGCTGCCATGAGATTTGGGTATTCAGGGAATGCAGATTCAAGTCCAGAGATGCTTTAAAATAGGACATAAAAAAAAAAAGATATCTTGTAAAACTCTTATCAGTGGTTATCAGTTTGGAATCAGGGGATTTGTAATGGGATAGAGAGCATTTAATTCACCTATTAAAATCCCTGCAGTAGCTTCCCGTAACCTTTCTCATCCAGGTCATGTTCGTGATCTCCACTTTTAGGACTATGAACAGGTCTGCCCCTGCATGTACCTCTCTTCTCATTTCTTTTTGCTTCACCCCAAGCTTTCTTACCTGCTCTCTTTATTTTTTCCTCTCCCTCTTGTCTTTGTGCTACATACTATGTTTTGAAGAGTTTTCCATTTTTATCGGCCAAACAACTCTTCATACAGTCCCTTGATAACACATCATACATCTTTGAAGGCTTTCAGTAATAATCAGTCCATCAAAGTCAGATTTTTGTGCACCATTTTGAGATTAGATCTCATTGGTCAGCTAGTGTATTGTATATCCTGACTATACTGTCTATTTTAGAATGCAAGCCCTGTACATGCCAACAGTGCTCAGAAATAAATTTCACAAAACCTACCATCGTTAACACTGATTTGCACTTTTATTAGCTTTCTTAACACTGAGGCCAAGTATTGAATGGACACAGAAACTGACCTCTCTTCAAAATGGTCTTAAGTGGACTCCTACTACTACACACTGATGGGGCAATGTGAGGAAGCTTGCCCATTCTATACCTGTTACGTGGATAAAGAGAATCTTTCCCTCTCTACAGCTGTCACTCCAGCATCATTCATCAACACTAAACTCACATACGCAGATTTAAAACTAAAAAGAAAAAAGGTCCGGTTCAGCTTTCTGAAGGATTACCTATAGGTGAGTATTTGACTAATTCTGCAGTATCTTTGACCAAATTCAGATTTCTTTGGGACAGCCCCATAGAATATATCCATTTACATACAACAGGCCATCACCAACACATGCATAACATGCGGATGCCAGGTGAATCAGAGTTTTACATTGCCGTGCTACTCAGTGTTTAACATTGCAGAAATCTTATCTTAATTTCCCTCTTGAAATGTACACATTTTTCTAGACATTCTTCCCTAATTTTTTGTGTTGAGGCCCTATTCATTTCCACATATTTAGTAACTACGAACAAGGGAATCCGAGGATAATTTTTGGAAGAAATGGTGAAATCTTCGTGATATTCCTCCTTTTGATTATCTGTCTTGGTGCTCTTTAGTTACGTCATTAGATTTTAGCCGTGCCATTAGGGGCCTATGAAGTTGAACATGGCATTGTGCCAAATGAATCTTTAATGCAAAAAGATGTGACATTTGAAGTGATTTATAAACTCAATATAAAGTGCCCCTGAAAATTAGGGTGTAAAAAAAAAGTAGGTTGTGTTAAATACCATAATCCTTCCTGTACTTGCCTGCATCCCCTGATCCAGTTTCTGTTCTTGTTCAGTACAGGCACAATTCTAGTGAGTGAGGCATGTCAGAGACTTATGAAACAAATGAACGGAATGCCGAGATATGATTTGGGCAGTCCAGTTGTCCACTATCGGAGACATTAATGCTCAAATGCTCTATATAGTCGTGTGGGTAAATATATCAACAATAAAATATCCTTAAGTCTGTGTTCCTTGTGCACTCAGTTTTCATAGTAGCAACAAAGAATTTGGAACAAGGCATTTTCCAGGGATTAATACCATCAAGGCATCTCTCAACTGCAGTTTGGACCACTGCTTCTTAATCCTCAGGAAATGCCCTGCAATTCATCTATCAGTGCTTGATTAGAAGGTTAGGAAATGCTCTATTGTTGTAAATATCCCTTACTGTTTTGAAGTGCTGGGAAACAGGTTTGTATACTCCAATCATGAAGCTCTGCAACACACAATTAGAGGTATCACATACAATTCTTTCAAACTCCAGAGCTTCCTCAAATAGAGAATTAATTTCCTAATATTTTGTGAACTGGTCATTTCCTGCTAAGGATGATGAAAAGTGTTGCACTGACATGGGTGGATCTGTCAAGTTTAAAAATGTCTCATCAAGGAGGCTCACATTGTGGTTTGTGTTACCTCGGCTCTCTGAGTTGAGGGGTGAAAACATTATCCACTATATGTTCGGGAACAGCTGGTGAGTCACTATTGTCCTAGTCAGTTTTGGGAAATGATGCCAGAACCTTCAGTACTCCTTTTCAACATGCCATAAAATGTTTCTCAGAACAGAATTGGTTTTTGCTTGTTTTAATATTGGTGATATATCTGCTTTTACATTTTACAGGGAAATCACAAGCTGTTTTATCAGTCTGACTGCACTGAACTAGAGTGGTGTGGCCAACCACCAGTGCCTTCAGTTGGATTGTCCCTAGGCTAAGCCAAAGGAGGCCCCAGTACCTTATCTTCTGACCCTTCATCTTAGCCACCAAGTTTTCTCTCTTATCTACCCTGCCAAACCTGGCGCTCTCTTGCTTTGAAAACTTTCCTAACCCTCACCAAAATCATTGCTTCAGCCTTTTCTAAACCCAATTGCAATATATTTTAGTAATGTTTAACAGGGTATTTTGCTTTTGGATAACCCTGGTTTTGATTCATTAATGCAGGCCGGGGAGAAAGGATAGTCATTTCTATACACCTACTCAGTGGTTAGAGGAAATGTTAGCAGTAGCAAGGGTGGGAAAAGCAACAAATGTGTGGACTGGTCCTTTTATAGTTCTGTTTACAATGAATTAAACATTTTCCATGAAAGGGAGTGTGTTTGAGAAGGCATTGCCTGCCAAGGCTTTGGTTATCGCAGCTGCAAACGGTGATTTACAAAATACTGAATATGATGTTCCATCTGCTTTATTTTCTCTTTCCCTTTGGAAATCAATAATAATAAAACACCTTTTCTGTCTGTAAAAGTTCAGTAGTAGAATGGGAGATAAGCTTGAGGTTCCTCTGCATCCTGAGTTGAGTGTCAGAATGCAAAGGGAACAAAAATAGGGTTCATATTGATAGTGGTTGACAACTTTAGGCCAAATTCCTGCTATAGAGGGGTTAAATTCCAGTGAAGTGAGTGGAGTTGCACCTGCCTACAGTTTGAATCAAGACAAAAGGTGAATTGTCTGAAAAGAGTGCCATTTAATATTCCTGGCATATATGTCTCGAATGGAAACGTTAATCAAACCTTGGTGCTCAACTGTAGCAGCATCAGTCTACCTGCTTCCCTGATATTTTGTTCATCCGACTTACGTATACAGAGATGAAAGAGGAGTTTTAAAAATCTAAATGCAAAGCCATGTTAATTCACAAATACCTTAGAGTTGGTTCGATATGCAAGTTTATTGAGAAACTAAGCATCTATTCCAAATGTGGAGGAGTTTGCTTTTGTGATTCTGTTTAAACAAATGTCATGAATATTCCTATTACAGTGGAGTTCAAGTGATGTTTTCAAGGATGGGCCAGCATACAAACAGTTAAGGGGATACACCGCCTTTTGTTGAGGCAGTCTTGTCAGCGTAGTGAACTGCGTGGATACTCTGCTTTTTGCTGAAACTGAATCTTATTACTGGAAAACGAGTGTCTTTCTGAATCCATGCTTTTATCTCCAACAAGAGGTGGGACAGACACGTGCATATTTATTATGATATTAAATTTATTACAATAACTGTTTACAAGACAAGGCACATACTGATGACTTACAATCCAGCTTGGAACATTCATAACTAAACAACTGCATAAATTAATACAAGTGCATCATATACAAGTTAGAGGGAATATACAAATAAAACTCCAGTTTAATTCTCTTACTAAAGTCTGAAAGGTAAACACACTCTCAGTTCACAAAGATAAAACTGGTTTTGGAAGTTCCCTTATCGCTGTTCATAGCAAGGTGTGCTATTTACTGGCGGCTCTAGTTATGTGGTAGGTGAGCCAAGGAGTAGGAGAAGGAATCCATTTGCCTGAAATGCTTCCAAATCCAATGTAGCCTGTGTGGCATAAGTAGAACTAAGGTGTAATGTTCCATGTTAATACAGGTATCTACATCTACTTGTTGAGCTGAGGGACAGTTGTTGATTACTCATAAATGATTTAAGAAGGATGTGAAAAGAAAGTAAAGTATGAATAATGATAAAAATAAATGAGGTCAGACAACGTGGCCTCAGTTTGCTTGTCTCTGAGCTAGCCAGAGATGATTCGACATGACTGATTTTCCTTACACACTGTTAGGAGACCAACCTGTGATAAGACTGGAGGATTTAAAAAACCTCAAACCAACCTGCAATTAAAAAGTTCACAGGAACTAAAGCAACTTGATGGCTCAGCTTTTAAAGAGTGAAATATAATGTGTATGGTATATCTGCATTACACTGAAAAAGAAAGGTCTGTGCATTTTAATATACTTTTGGAAGGCTTCCTGACTGCCCTGTTCCCAGAATGCACTGGGAAGACTTCAGTATGGATTTTCCTTGTGACGAGCTCAGAGTCATTTAAAATGATCTGTATTGTATTTACAGAATTGCTCAACTGAATTCTGAACCATGAACTCAACAGCAAATAAACGTTCATGAAGCAAAGTTTTCAACAGGCCAGTATTTATATTCTGCTTCTTAAAGAACGTTTCATTTCCAGTCGTCAGCCTTCCATGGAAATCCAAGACTGTAAATGAGAACATGGTGCACTTCTGCAATTACATAACGCAGAATAGATAATAAATGCAAAGAAAACATTTCTCTCGGTTCCTTCCCCTGCTTATGGACTCGTTCCCTTAAAACCCAGGACATTTGATCATTGTAGGGAGAGGAAAGGAAATGATTTAGAGGGTGTCCCTCCTGCATGTTTGTTTAAGATTGAATGCTCTTTAGTACAGGATCTATATTTTCATCCGTGCTTGGCAAGCACTGCGCACATTGTGGGCAGTACTACCACATTCTAATTATAATTACACGTTGTGTGGGTTGAATGATAGAATTACTTAAGCTGATTGTGCTGTGTCCCAGTATTTTAATACTATGAGTCATACTGGTTATCATCAATACGAAGGAACTTCCAGGAAGGAGAAGAAAAGTGATACCACTTCTGATTTGTCTTGTTATATGAAGTAAAATGCATCTCCCAGCTATCATGTCTGAGTAGTTTCATGGGCTTTAGAAAGGGACCTACCTTATCTAACATTTTCCCTTCAGAAATCTGAATGTTCTCTTGACATTCTAGATATCCAGAATGTGCCTGTGTTACTCATTCCTCAGAAGGCATTAAAAGATTAAAAAGTAACTAAACTTGCCCCAATATTAGCCTACACCTTCTTTCCTTTAGATAGTGCATACAAGTACAATAGTTAGTGGTTCAATGACTCCAAGATGTGTTGGGAGTTAATTTTACCATGGTCTGGCAACCAAGTTAACCAGTTGTTTAATTGTGGAATTTGCCTTACAAGAACTTGAAACTTTCTGATTAATAAGGCTTTTTAATGGGGAAGCTGATGCTTGTGTCCTAGGCCTTGATTCAGCAAAGCACCTAGCATGAGCTCAACTTTAAGTAAGTGAGAAGTGTCTGGATGACTATTCGCATGCTTAAAGTCAGGCCCATATTTAAGTGCTTTGTGGAATCAGGGCCCTCGTTTGCTTCGTCAGATTGCCAAGACAGTGGTTTCATGTTTAGGGATCTGATCCATCTCACAGTGAAGTCAATTATAACAATCCTATTGATTTCACTGGGAGTTGAATCAGGCTGCCAGTGTCTTGAGTATAATAAAGTATCAACAACCTCGTTAGTGGCAAGGGGCGTGATCCCACACTGCCTAGCACCTTATGTAGTCATGTAAGCCCCTGCAAAAGAATGCCATTTTGATTTGGTAGCATTTTACATTCACTTTGTGCAAGCTGATATGATTATGCTGTGGGATCAGGTCCATATTCTTTGTAATTAAATTACGCTAGTTTTCCTTCGAATTTGAAAAAGCAATAAAGGAAACAGCTGATACTGTCATTAGTGATTATATGAACTTTTAAAAGACTCTTTTACTGGTTACTGGAGGAAAAATTCTAGAAGGGAGTAGGACTTCTTGAGTGGCTGTCAGCAAATAGTGTTCTAGGCCTGTCAGTAATGCTCAGCAAATTTACAGTTCAGCCCATCTGCCTTTTACAGCATATAAAATGTGTAACACCAATTATGAACTATAATCTATAGTTCTAGAAAATTACTTCCTAGTACTTTGCATGTCTACAGTGCTTTTCACCTTCAAAGTGTGGTAAAAGGCATCAGTCCTCACAGAACTCCAGTGAAACAGGCAAGCAGGCTTATCTTAATTTTTCATCTGGGAAACTGAGTCTGAGAAAACAAATGACTTGCCCAAGGTTACACAGTGGGTCAGTGGCCTTGTTTTTAAACTCCAGACTTCCTGGTTGTCTCCTAGTCCTCTAGAAAACACTGGTATTTCTGGGGCAATGAATCAATTTTCTGTGCTGTAACCACCCAGAAAGTCAGATTGTTGTGTATTATTGTCTAAATAATGCAAGTGAAGATTTTTTTTATTTTGCAATTGCAGTTACATCTATAAAGTTGTAACATGGCACCATAATGTTACTGCTGAAGAGTCCCAGTACTCTTCCACCTCCCACTAAAAAGCAGAGACTTCTGCCGTTATTACTCTGCAAAATTATTATTCCACCAGAACTCATCCTGAGTTTCAATTTCTGCACAAGGGCTTGGGAAGAAAACTTTGGTTTCAATGAAGATAATGCTCTTTCTGAACCTAACCACCCCCATCTCCTTCCTGACAGAAGACAGCCAAATGTCTGTTGAAGGAGTGTTTGCAACTGGATTTACTGTAAGTTAGAAAGTAGAGATGGAAAAATCCCTTTTTAAACAGTGCTGTTTGGGCTGGGGAAAGCTGTCATTGAATGAGCCTAGCAAGGAACAGGAAAGCTATTGGCTCAGGCAACAATTCAGCTTAGAATATGTATCCATTTAAAAAAAACAAACACTTCACAGTTCTGGTATTGGCTGGACACAAATCAGGGAGAATAGAGAAGATATAGTAAGACTTCTTCCTTCCCAAATTAGATGCTGGGAATATGTAATTATCCTGCTTCCCCCCACCCTGTCACTTCATATGTATATTTTCAGCAATAAACTTAAGACAGAAAAGTTGAACTTTTGACAATTTATCAAATGGTTTCTAATTTTCTGGTTTGTCAGTTTTCATTTTGAATATTAAATTGTTGATGTTTTTATACATTTTATAAAATAGCCCATGACATATTTTAAATAACTTTTCTTCAAATCCTGCAGATATGCTGTGTGTGTGTCCCCTCAAAATTAAGTCCATCTTAGAAGCTGTTTTTAAATATACATGAGGGGTAAATTGCTAAGTTACTCCTTGCAAGTCATCATCCAGTGAGACATGGATTCATTTTATCTTTCTCATGGCACTGTGAGACATTATTCCCTTTAGAAATGACTTGTGTGGTCCTAGTAAGCCCTTGTCAGCAGTTGAGACAGAATTAATCAGTCATCGCTCTTAATTATTTCTGTGTAATGAGTTGGGCTAGAGACCTACAAGACAAGTGGTCTTAAGTCTATGGCTTAAGTGTAATAGACATTATTTGAAGTGGGTGTCTATATGCATAAGCAGAAAAGTCTTGTGAGAGAAGATGAAAATGGTATAGTATTCAAAAGGCAAAAACATCATGGTTGCACTCCTCTGTGCAGATGATCTGTTCTTTGTAGTATGTTTCAGTGTAAACTTTTTCTTTCAGAAGAAATGTCTTGATGCCTGCCTACATGAATTCTTGTATGGCAACCTCTTCATTTTTAACATAGGCAAATCATGATGTACAAGGAGATTTTATGTTCTATTTTAGCTTCAGTTGTGATAGGTTTCATAATAAAATTTGGTGAGGCTTTAGTGACGGTAATAGTATAACGCATGTCTCCTTTACTTACATGTTAACTGCATAGGGTTAACTAAGCAATTTCCATATAACTGCATAGTCATTCCATGGTCCTGAAATTCACTTGGCAAATGCAACTGAGTTCAAAAGTAATCATTGTTTAACCTACCCTCTGGCTTGACAGGCATAAGTACTTATAGACTATTATGAATTTAAATGTACGTAGAACTTAATTTGCAATTAAATACCTCAATTAAGTATATATCAAGATATGATTAGAATTCATCCTTGCAGAATTATACTCACCACTGGCCCAGAGTGAGTAAAATAGCATTGTTTTTTCGTTATCTTTATCTTCAGATAAAGACTGGATGAGCTGATTTAGTACATGAGCTAGTAAATTTTCATGACATTTTGTAAAAATTTTTAGACTTGATATTTGTGCCAACCAGTATAAAGTGTTCCCCTAAGCTTTAGTTTTGCAACAGGAAACAATAGGAAAAACCACAGTTTAATTCCCATAAAAAGCTGTAAAAGAAGTCTATGTAGCTCTGATGGTCCAACCTCTAGCATCTGACCTCCAAACAATTCACCACTGGGCTAGTTTCTAAAGGAATAAATAAGCTAAGTCTGTAAAATGTCATCATGAATATACAGCTAAAAGAGACAGGGAGATGGCACCAGAGTGTAGCAATTGCTAACAACTTAAACATTTGCCAGCTGACCTATGACCAAGAGCTGGATGGGCTGAGGGTTTTGTATAACTGGTACCAGAGGAGAATAGAGAAGAGGCTGAGCATTTTGTGAAGTCCCGAATTTTAAAAATCATTCTTTTGTGGAGTGCTTGTTATGCAAGAAATAACTAATGAAAACTGTTATGGTCCATAAAGTGCAAAAAAGTAAGTGGTATAAAGAAGGAAGGGGAATAATGCTACCAACTGTGTGTGCAACTGGACACAGTCTTCATACATAGTGCTTTTCAGGGTTGTTTCCTACATCTTTCTCTGCCTACTCCACAGCAAAACAAGGATATGAGGGTCCTATTATTTTTAAGCAATAAAATTCTGTATTACTCAGGTAATATATGGCTATCAGAACTATTTTCCTGTATTTTTCAACTCAGTTTAAGCAATGAGATCTTTAGAAGCAAATACAACATGGTCCAGTACAAATGATCACATTGAGAAAAATACAGGAGTACTGTCACAGATTTGAGATTCTAAATCTAATCCTAACGGATGATACTCATCCTATAGTGGTTTATGCATTCTCTCCCATACAGACATCCTCATGTTTTCAGAATGAATCAGTTCAGCAGTGAACTCGTAGTCTGGTTTGAAGTACGCAGCAGATTTTGTTGAAATGTTTGGATCTGTATGCTGGAGGCACCAATTTTCCAGATGCACATTGCCGTTGTCTGGGCCTCCATGGAAAACACCCACCCATTCCTTGGCTCAGTGGAAACTCAATTCTTTGGAAAGGGGAATATGGAGGGTTGGGGAGCATGGGAAAAGTTAAACTTTTACACCTTTTCCCCTCCCCCCAAAAATGTTAACTAAACTGCATTCATGCGGATGTCCCCAAAGGGAATTTCTGTGGCTGTCTCCGGGGTAATGCTTTTTAGAATACGCTGTTGAGAAGAAAAAACACGTTAGATGAACGTTGTGCAAATTTAGATTTCAGGTAGAATTTTGCAGTTACGTGAAAAGAGACACTGTAAAGGATTTAGCTTAAAGAAAAATCTGACCCCCCTTTAAAAGACTCACATATTTACCTGCGCCACACAGGTGGTGTGAGACTTAGTTTGTACAGCATTTTAAAGATGTAAAGTGCTATAGAAGTACAAACTATTATATTTTTTTTAGTTGACATAAATGGTAGCATCCACGCTAATTTACAGAGCTTTTGCAGTAATGCCCTCGGGATCATTTACTTAAATACTACCAACTTTATTGAGCATATCTCTTCTGAATGGATATTTACATATAAATAATTAAAGTTTCCAAATTCCATCCCGGCTTGCTGTGGATCTTGTGTAAAATATGGGATGGATGGTTTTGGTGGTTGTGTCTATTTCTATTTTGTTTTTGTGGTGGAGGAAGCAGGATGGTGTGTCTGTATAGATATAGGTCAAAACTAGTATTGCTTCCTCAGCCTATGGCTAGAGTTGACTGAACCTCTTTGGAATATATTGCTAGGCCTCTATCTTCTAACCCAAGGGTAGGCAACCTATGGCATGCATGCCAAAGGCGGCATGTGAGCTGATTTTCAGTGGCACTCACACTGCCCAGGTCCTGGCCACTGGTCCGGGGGACTCTGCATTTTAATTTAATTTTAAATGAAGCTTCTTAAACATTTTAAAAACCTTATTTACTTTACATACAACAATAGTTTAGTTATATATTATAGACTTATAGAAAGAGATCCTCTAAAAACGTTAAAATGTATTACTGGCACGCGAAACCTTAAATTAGAGTGAATAAATGAAGACTCGGCGCACCACTTCTGAAAGGTTGCCGACCCCTGTTCTAACCAAAATAAAATTTTCCACCTTCTGTAGTGACCAGCAGAGATGCATATTTCCTGCTACTGCTGAAAGTCTGAGGACTTGTCTACATTTAAAACGCTGCAGCTGCACCACTGTAGCGCTTCGGTGAAGATGCTACATACACCGATGGGAGGTCTTCTCCCGCTGGTGTAGGTACTCCACCTCTCCGAGGGGGGCTAGCTAGGTCGATGGGAGAATTCTCCCATCGACCTAGTTCTGTCTACACTGGGGGTTAGATCAGTGCAATTGTGTCGCTATCGGGTGTGGATTTTTCACACCCCTGAGCAAAATAGTTCTACTGATCTACTATCCTAGTGTAGACCAAACCTGAGAAAACCCTTTGTGGGCTGACTGTCAGAGCAAAGCAGTTCATATCTTCTACCATCCTCTGCCCCTTCCAAAACAGATTCAGAAGTAATCCATGCAAGGATCAACCTTGTTGTGATTAAATCAGGGTAATTGGCGAAACACTCATCACACTGTACTACTACTGCTATCTTGCACATTTATAGTGCCTTTTATCCAAGATCTTAAAGCATTTCACCAATGTATATTATTCCAGTCAAACACTAATTCTCAGCACTTAACCATCTTAAATATTCACTGACCAAAAAAACCTAACACAGAATGAAGGTTACAGTGGGATCTTGTGCCCTTCCAGAACATTGAGTTCTGTAAAACTCAGACTTCTGAAAACCAGGCAATACAGAGTTAAGGTTCACGCCCACACAACTGTAGTCTGCGGCCCTGGAGCTGGCAGTAGTCCCTGGGAATTGCCTGGGTGCATTCCAGCTGCATTCGCTGTGTTAGGTATAGCTGTATCGAAAGGGGAGGGTTAGTTGGAGAGTTTGACAGAGCTGTGATTGTAATATGAGACAATCTGGGGCTTTGTGCCCCTCTTGGTGTGTGTATGGCCCTTTTCCCTAACCCTCATGTGTGTAATCTAAGGAAAGAGGTCCATGTGTACCTTGAAAGTTCCAGTATGCCTTATTTAAGCTCTGTGTTATGTAACATTGGGCACATGGATCCTCTTGCCGGGGGATTCTCAGCATCTAGGTGGGAGATGTGTGGTCTGTGGGTTTAATGATGGGTAAGTGAAAGCATAGTGTGAGAGATGGCATCATGTGCATAAGGGTGAAGAGGTTGTAAAATTTAGCAGATGGAGTCAGTGTTGGGCATGTGCAGGTAGTTCCTGTGGAGTACTGTGCAAAGAGAGCGTGTAAGCATGTGCTATGGGTGTACTGAGGCATTGCTCCGAGGAGAGGGAGTTAAGGTAGCGTGGGTGTGTACCTTAACTCTTCAGTTCCTGGTTTTCAGACAGTTTGAGTTTTGCTGAACTCGACGTTCAAGAAGGACACAAGATACCATTGGGCAACCTTAACTCTCCATTTTTTGTCAGTGAATTTCCTAGATTTTTTTTAACAGAAATGTTGTTAGTAGGAGTTAGTGGTCCTTTAGGCAGTTTTAGTTACCATGCAGGTGTACAGCTGAGATGCAGTTGTGGCCAGGTAATGATGATAATGCCTTGCTGTTACATAGCACTTTTCATCAATAGGTCTCATAGCACTTTGCCAAGGAGGGAAACATCATTATCCCCATTGTACAGATGGGTAGACTGAGTCACAGAGCAGTAAAGTGACATGGCCAAGGTCACCCAGCAAGCATGAGGCAGAGGTGGGAATAGAGCCCAGGTTTTCTGACTCCCAGTCCACTGTTCTCTCCATGATGTTGCTGTGTGATACCTAAGTATGTGCCTCTCCCACTCCCCACCTTGTTACAGTGAAGTAGGGATAATGGTTGTGCTTTGAAATGTTTGGAGTTACTAAAAGCCCAGTGAGAGAGTCATCGGTGCCCCAAAATCAAGTTTTATTACACGAGGAGAACAGTAACTTTAAGTATGAGAGAAGACTGGTAGAGCTCTCTTGCTCCACTCTCCTCTGCCATCATCCCCCACAACATGTAGCCCACCCTCTGCCACCATTCCCACTTCACCCTCCCCTTCCTGTCACGTTAAGCCACTAGCACTTGAGAACCCAGGTGTGCACAAGGAAATGGGTAGAAATCTGTGAACTTTAAGAAAACCTGTTTGTTTCCGGGAGCTGTATCTTGGAAATCCTTTTCTCAACTATGGATCATTTACCCTTCCCCAGTACAGCACACAGCATATTTCAAGACACAGTGAGGAAGAACGAGGATTTTAGAGCCCTTGAAAGAATTAACCTTTAAACAGAAACATCTTCACAATCTTAACAATGGCAGAACTGGACAGTGCTCCACTATAATATGGTATGAAATTAATAATCAGCAACTTGCTTTGCTATAGCCAGTTTCCCAGCACAGGCTGAACCTGAAAGCAGAGCAGGCTCTGAGAGGTGTGAAGTGGCCCATTCATTTCATGGGATGTTCTCAGAGGAATGAGAGGAGGGAGGCAAGGACAAGGGGCCCAGACCCCTTCTGTGTGACAGGGCCTCCCAGATTCCACATAGGGACTTCAGGCTCCTGTAGAGAGAGGCATCCTCAGAGGGACAGGGCTCCCACAGATCCTAGTTCACATGAGAAAGTGGGTAGGGAGAGGAGCTCAGACACCCCAAGAGGGTCAGGGTCCCCCTGTTCCCAGCACACACATGGAAGAAAAGAATGTGAGGATGACAGGCACCCCTAATTCCTCCCACTTACCCTGCCACCCACCTCTGTCACCCCTCACACTTCCCCATCATCCCCACTCTCTCCCCCTGACCTGAGTCCCGAAACCACTCCCCATTTATCTTCTCTGTATAACACCCTTGCCTCTCTGAAGATCCAAACCCTCGTCCCTTCCACTCCTCTGTCTCCTAAATCCCCCTCCTCTCCCAGCAATCCTTCACATGTGTAATTTCTTTTCTTTTTGAAATAGCACAAATGCCTTCTGAAGTTTCTGCTGTACTCAGATTACATTTCCCCAAAATAAAAACAAACACCCTTGGACAAAGGCAGTTTATAGCAACATGCCTATGTTTCATTTCAGCTTTCTACCCTGGGTTGGGTTTGAACTGGGCGTTGCTCAGGTTCAATGGCCGTAATGTCCCCTTGAGTCACACAGGTCCTGTGACTCATGCTTGGCTAGTAATTCTTTTGGGATTCTGTCCACATGTGCACAGTATAATCCATTGGCTTGTGAGTGTTAGCATGCGCCTGCCTAAAGAGCCGAACTCACTTTCAATTTTGCTCCTCCAAAAGGTTAGTGGGTCCCTGGCACTGTCTGGGGTAAATGTTGAGTGACTGAGACCCTTTGGGCTTGCAGAGCCATGGCTTGAGCCTTAGGTCTGAGCAAAAAAAGTTGATAGAATCTGTCAACCTTAAGAAAAGCTGATTTCCTGGGGACAGCTGTATCTCAGGAACTGCTTGCTCAAAAGTCCCCAAATTTCAATCACTTAGCCTACCCCACATCCCCATGTGGCACAGCTAATTTCAAAGCAATCTGTGCAACCATGTGGATTTTAGAGCACTCAGAAGAGTTGTTCTTTAAACAGAAAGGAATTCTCAACCTTAATTATTTGCAGAGCTGGCACCCTGCTATCATACATAACCCACCATTCCTTTGTATTAACAGCATGATTTTACTGTTAAAGAGAGGTATTTCTTACAGTGCTGATCCATACATCCAGCACCTGGCAAATATGGGAGCATCATTTACAGACCATCTTTTTTGTCTTAAGTACCTATGCAGTATTTCCCCACCTCTTTCTTATGTATGGCTGGGTAGTGGAGTGGGAAGTACATCCCATCAAAAATGAACTTGAACAAATAAAACACATCAGATACCTCTTTAAATGTTCCTGGGGTGATTATCAACCGATAAGCCATGTAGATTGGAATGCAGATAACAGAGGAGGTTCCTATGCAGTAACCCACTATAGTGGTCCAGTAGGGATAGTTATAATCAAAAAGCCGTAGATCAGGAGGGCTGGACATAAAACTGCAAATGATGAACTGAAATAAAAATGCAACAAAATATTACAAATACACAATGTTTTTACATAGCACGTAATTAGCCTTTGGGACCAACTGCTGCAATAAATCATTGAGACCAAAAGCATAGCAGGATTCAAAAAAGGATTAAGCACTTATATGAATAATGAGAAAATCCACAGTTACATTAGAAAGGATGTAAACCCTCATGCTTAGGTCATAAGCCACCTTAGCTGATAAGAAAATTCCTCTTATGGACAATTTATTCCATAATGACCTGGGTATTCTTGAATCCAAACAGAGCGACAGGATATTGGACTAGATTTGTAGATTTTTTAGGCCAGAAGGGACCATTAGATCACCTAGTCTGATCTCTGGTAGATTGCAGACCAGAGAAATTCACACAGTTACCCCTGTGTCAAGCCCAATAATTTGTCTGACTAAATCATATCTTCTAGAAGACATCAAGAGCAAGAGAGTACAACATTTCCCTTGGTAGTTTGTTCCAATGGTTAATCACCCTCACAGTTAAAAAATGTGCGCCCTATTTCCAATCTGAATTTGTCTGGCTTTAACTTCCAGCCATTGGGTCTTGTTCTGCCTTTCTCCATTAGATCAAAAAGGACCATTAGTACCCAGTATTTTCAACCCTAGAAGGTATTCATACATCATAATCAAGTCACCTCTCAATGTTTTTTAATTATTAGTATTTATTAAACAGGTTGTGCTCTTTAAGTCTCTCACTGGAAGGTATTTTCTCCAGTCCTTGAATAATTTTTCTAGCTCTTTTCTGCACCCGCTCCTCTTTTTCAATATCTGTTTTAGCATGTGGACACCAGACCTGGATGCAGTATTCTACTATCAGCTTCATCAATGCTGTATACAGAGGTAAAAAATCACCTCCATACTTTCCTGTTTATACATCCAAGGATCATATTAGCCCTTAGATGTATAAATGGACCACAGATCTGATCTGGTATTGTATGTTTGAATGCCAATGCTAAAATTCTACTGAATTTTAAGATAGAATGGTTAAAAAAAAAATTCCATTTGAATCCAGTGATATCCAGAATCCCATAGCCAATAGTTAGGTCTGGTAATGAACAGGGGTGAGAGAATTTTTTCTTGAAGACACTGTTTACCCTTCCAGAGGATTCATCCAACTTTGATTCCTCTCTCCCTTTTATTGTTGGGCTGGTTTGGAATGCTATGCACCACTTGGCCCACATATGCTCTGTAAAAGTTTATAATTTATTCTGATCTAGTGTGATTTTTTCCTCTTCTTCCACAATTTCATTAGAAAGTGTTTTTTATGTTGTGTATATTTAACACACATCTATATTCCTTGCTTTTCATGTTCCTTTCTCAGGTTATTGCTTCAAGTTCTTTCAGGGGTTAAACAAAGATGTCACCTGCAAATCTGAAGTGGTTCATGTACCATTTTTATCTTTATGCACTTTTCTTCAGAGTCCAGCTTTTTGAATGTGTTCTCCAGGCAGACGGTGAGAAGTTAAAGATAAGTGAGTGTTTTCTTGTGTAACTCCATGCTTGTCAAGCTTAAATAGTATTATACTAGTTGTATAAATGTTTCAAGAATTCTTTGAGGTCACATGGAACTTCTGGTTTTTCTTCAAGTACTTCTAAAACTCTTCCTTAACACCAAATAGAGGAATGTCCACTATCTACAGCAGCAACTCATTGCATTTGGCAGTCTTCTCCAGAACTTGATTCATTGTCAGCAGCCTGAAGATGCTGTATGGTTGAGAGATTGCTCACCAGCTTTTGTGTTGATTATAGGCCAGAAATCATTGTGGTTTGATCCCCGGACCTCAGATTGACTTGTAGAATGCAATAGTTCTTGGATTTATATGTTTTTCTTCTTACTCTAATACTAAGATTGCAGCGTTCCAGTTTTATGCTAAAGCATATTGGATCCGACCCTGTGAGATACTCAGTGCTTCCAGTTCCCATTGAAGTCAAACCTAAGGTGCTTAAGTATTAAACTGGTACATTGCAAAATTAATGTTAGTGACTGTTTTGGGAAGCATCCCTAATTTAATTTTCACAGAATTTCATCATAGGATTCCCGGCACTAGATGTTTATAATTCCCATAGAGAACCACCAAACCTACGTCTGGGCTTTTCTTATTTTAGTTTCCATAGAGACTGTAAATATCAATTTTGCCTAGTAACCACATCACTGAAACTATATTGCTCTTCATGTAATTTAGTTTTATTGTTTCAGGATCATGGAGAGGATAGTGTATAAATTATTTTTGTGGTGAAACATCTATTTATAGCTTTTTTTACTCCTTTGTCTACAGGTAATAAAATGGAAAACAGTTAAACACACATTAATCATCCCAGCTGTGTTGTTTTGAGTTCACAGCGTAGGCTTTAAATCTAGACACTTTGACTCCATAAACCTCCATCTTGACTTACTCTCCTTGCATCCAAGCCAAGCAACAATAAAAGACAGGGTGAACTAATTTTGGAACAGGGAATGAAGGCTTTGTTTAAAAATTTTACTAATAACTTTGCCAAGTCAGCTGTGGGGACGTTGGCTCCAGTTTCTGATTATGAAGGATGCTATCTGGTGAGGTAGAGTTTGGGTAGGTGTATTCTGAAGTTGCCAGGCAGTGGCTGATCAAACAACAGATTTATAAGCTATCTTAATTTCTCTTTTTTTCTGTGATTTTTATCAGCATCTTTTACTATTTTACTTCACTGTCATAAATGTAAAGCAGCAAAGATCAAATTAGTCTTGTCCTGTGTTGCAGGTTGTTAAAGTTTTCTAGTATCATCATTGTTTATCTAAGTAACAAAAAAGACCCAAACAAACTCAGTGTTGATCTACTAACTAGTCCTAGCTGCTTTTATCAGATTCATCTCATTGATTTAATATTGTTAGCTTCCAAAAGCTGGCATTAGAGAGTAGAACATGAATATTATGTAAATGAAAATCCCATATCTGGAACTCTAAGGTATTACACTAGTAAACTGTGACAGTCTTGGGCTGGGAACATGAACTCACCAAAAGGAAGATGGGGCTGATTGCTACCCAGCAGAGGCGCCAGTACCAGCCTGGAGTGAAGCCCAGCATTTCCTTCATGTCACTGCAAAACTGGTTGATGCCTGTGAAAATAAATGGAAGGTAGAGGTGACAGGGAGAAAAAAGTTATTCAAATATTGATATAACCAGGAAGTGAATTTAGCATCCAGCAGGAAACAGTGTGGTCATGTCCCTGCAACCTTTTCATTACACAGAAACCTCCATTATCCAAAGTCATTCAGTGTCTCCCAACACATCTGGAGATCAAGATTGTACTGTGCTTACATGACAAAGTAACTGGTAACATTGTTTTCAGATTCAGTAATCCATAAATTGCTTTTTCTATGTGACATCAGTGCCCCTGTCCACAGAGCTGGCAGAAACGCGATTCGGCAAATGTCTGGGAGTCTGCTCAGCATGGGTTGTAAGTCCGTGAACAATCTTACCATAGAACCAGGCCACCGCAATGGATTCCAGAAACACCACCGTTAGGACAGCAGGACCTGTAGCATATTCTTCAAACAGCTTCACTACATATGCACCACCCTAGAAAAGAGATTGTGGCACTGATTAGCCAAAATCCCCAGAACAGAAGTTTTGTACTACTAGTCAACCTCCCTGGTCCCTCAATTACAGACCTAAAAGTCGCAATACTCCAATAAAAAAACTTCAAAACCAGACTCCAACGACAAACTGCTGAATTAGAATTAATTTGCAAACCGGACACCATTAAATTAGGCTTGAATAAAGACGGGGAGTGGATGGGTCATTACACAAAGTAAAACTATTTCCCCATGCTAATTTTTTCCCCTACTGTTACACACACTTTCTTGTCAACGGTTGGAAATGGGCCATCCTGATTATCACTACAAAAGTTTTTTTTCTCCTGCTGATAATAGCCCACCTTAATTGATTAGTCTCTTTATAGTTGGTATGGCAACACCCATTTTTTCATGTTCTCTGTGTATATATATCTTCCTACTATATTTTCCACTGCATGCATCAGATGAAGTGGGTTTTAGCCCATGAAAGCTTATGCCCAAATAAATTTGTTAGTCTCTAAGGTGCCACAAGTACTCCTCCTTCTTTAGTCATATACTGTCCTCATTTGGAAAGAGAGCATTCACCAGTGCAAAATTCACTCTATCCCATCACTTCCTGCCTGCTTTGGCCTTGAGTAATACTTGACAGTACTAATGACTTGTCCAGTATCCTTGCTTTAACTTTCTGTGATCATCCTTTGCCAATAGAACGGCCATGCAGAAAAACTGAAAGGGAAGCAGCGGGCATTTCTATTTGGATTTTAATGAGCTAATCAGATGGGATCTGTGCTTTTCCATGCCCTCCTTTGATGGCAACTTCCTTCTCTGTCCCTGAGCATTAGTCACTGAGCAGGAAACAAAGGCAGCATTAGGTTCTATTCTTTCCTCCTAGATCTGGACTCAGCTACAAAGAAAGAGAATTGCATCTTCTACAGGAACCTGGCTCCTTGTAAATACTTTAAACCAGGAGGGAATTTCTCATAAAACAAGCAGTGGAATGTAAAAGCCAGTGAATTTTTTCCCCACATCTTTTACAAAAGCTGACCTCTTAGTACCAATTTGTGCTCCTGTTACAGCAATGAAGCCCCAATGACCAGACAGAGGTTGCACAAGTGTAACTCAGAGCAATATTTGGCCTGTATGAGAGAAGGAATATGTAAGTGCTGCAGATTCACATGAGCCATTATCCCGTGCCAGGACTTCTGGACTCCAGTTCACTAAATTCCATTTATGTTAGTTTCTAGAACAGGATTTTGTATCCATCCTTCTCTTGATTTGAAATTTATTTCTAACCCTTTGAAAATTAAACTGATAATTTTTAAATTTGTAAAAGCTGGGATTTTGGGTGCAGGTTTGAAAGGTTAAACAGCTGGAATGAACCTGCTTAGTGGTGTAGTACCAGTCTGGGCAGTATTTGTGTGGTTTATTATGTACTGTACACTGGAACTTTGTCAAGTTACAACATTGTCAGATGCCCTCATGAGTGTGACTGTTCACATTCATTCCACCGACAGTCTCTGATCCCATAAGGAAAACAGCTCCTCTCCACTGGACTAAGAGCATTTCACATATTTGATGAGACTCCTTGAGATTCTGTTTGGGAAACACTTCCCTCCTGCAGATGTCAGCTAGAGCCTACTGCCAATAAGCAAGGTTCACAATGTTGGGTGCGGTACTTACAAATGTCAGGGTTGATAATGACCCCAGGAAGCAAGCGATGATCAGACCAAGGACAAACCATTCCCTGCGCTTTCCCCAAACATGTGGGAATTCGTCCAGCATCGCAGTGATCACCCCCTCCAGCCCTGCAAACTGAAAAGCACAGCAAAGAGTCATAGAAAGAAAGAAAGCATCCTTCCCATCCTGCATTCCCCACATACACCCCACAACTGGTGTATACTGACAATGTACATCCGCATAGCTGCATCTCTCAGGCATGTGAAAAACCCACACCCTCAGAAAGTCAGAGCTACAGTGCTTCTGTCAACCTAGCTACCACCTCTTGGGGAGATGGGTTACCTGCAGCGATGGGAGAACCCCTCGGCTCACTGTAGTGAGTGTCTACACTGAAGCACTACAGCTGTTGCGCTATAGTGTTTTAAGTGTAGACATACCATAAGATACAATTAGGACAATGAACCTTTGGCATGTGTCTGAGTGATAGGATTGAGATGACTGCTCTGGAAACATCCCCATCATGTCTTCAGAGACCTTGATCTCTTTAGGGCAGGGATTTTGTCTCATATGTATGGGAAGTGCCTAGCACATAACAGGAACTACCATATTACAAATAATAAATAATAAGTAAATGGCTCATTGTAGCCAAGACTAGGAAGTCAGTGGAGTTGATTTTGGATTGAATTTGGTCCTTAATCTGCAATAACTATGTGGCAAAATCGTTATAGCACGTTGCCTCACTTTGAGAAATCACCTTCTGTTCCCACCTTCTAAATCCTGTTACCTGTGAAAAATCCCAGAAACATGTCACTCATTTGCATGTTGACAGGTAATTAAATGCTTCCAATATACAAGAAGAGAGAGAGCATCACCTGCTGGTTAAAAGCTGGGTTCTAGAAGTTGAATATTCTGGGTTCTGTTCCCAGCTTTGCCACTGACTCACTGTGTGACTTTGGGCAAGCCATTTAATCTTGTTGTGCCTCAGTTTCCCCAATTTTGAAACAGGGATAATAAATACTATTCTCTGATCCAGGGATTATAAAGATTAATGACTGTTTGCAATGCATTTTGCACTTATTTAGCACCCTTCATCCAAGGACCTCTAAGTATTAGTATAGTTGCTCTATTATTAAAAGAAGAGTTCATGTTTTAATTCTGCAGATTTGTTTTGGAACATGCTGGAATAATTCCAAATGCTTAACCCCATCCATCCATTCATGGCCCCTCTCACTAATGATATACACTCACCGTGCTGTCTAATCCCAGAGTGAGTAACATCAAGAAAAATATGATAGCAAAAAAAGTCGAAGCAGGCATGTTTGCAATGGCCTCTGCGTAGGTAATGAAGAGAAGGCTGGGCCCTGGTACCAAGAGGGAGAACAGGCAATTATTACAGGTCAACCCTACTGCTCTGAAAAAGAGGGACCATTTCACTCACACCTGGAAATGCCTTGTCCACAGGGGAGTGTTACCGTGTGTACCCACAGTAAGGTTCACTAGGTGACATGTAACATGATTTCTACGTTCTTTTCTCTTCATAGAACAATTTTGGAGCTGTGTTGCACACCATATGCTGCTGATTGGTTTATGTTAGGGCCTTTGGCATAAAGTAGTATGATTAATCATAGTATATACAAAACATTATGCGTAGTTTGGAGTGTTTGTCCAGGCCAGGGTCTTTCCCCTGATCCTGAATTTTAAATGGATTACATGGTCATGTTTGGGTGGTAAAAATATCTCCCCATCTGGAATGTAATCAAACAAGTTCTATCAAAACTTCAGAGGAAATTTAAGACAGCAATAGAATAAGTTCCCCTACCAGTATCTTTAGCAACCTCCGACACCTCTTCATTCCTCATTTCAGCCATATATCCAAGCACAGTGAAAATGACAAATCCAGACACAAAACTAGTCATGCAGTTCACCGTACTGGTAACCAATGCATCCCTGGAAGAGAAAACCCAATGCATCTCAGAGAGCGAACATCTGCCAGAAAGAATGGTGTATTGCCAGAAGGCACAGTATTGAGTTTGAACTATCGAGACCACCTGGGAGCACGTTTCAATACAGCCCTTCAACTTTCCAGATTGTATAAATACTGATCCATATATGTTAGTATGTGAGGGTGTGTTGGGAAAGACCTCAGGAAAATTAAGGTTCTGTCTTTGCATGGATGCTAAAAATCCCATCGCATTTTTCAGAAGAGTAGTAAGGCTTTGTCTTGGTGTCCTTAGCTACATTTTCTTCTGCCCTGCTGGTTGTCCACCTGTCTGCTGTTTTACCCCAAAGGCAGCTGCATTTCACTGGTGAAATGATCACTGGACTGGTATGTACTGGTAGTTTTTAAAACATTTTGAGATGATCACGGACCATGCTCCCAGACCCATTGATAGTGCCCATTTAGCAGTTACCAGTATGATGCAGCCTGAATCTCTAAAGGTTGTACCCCAGCCCTGTTGATGTCCTATCTTGTCTTGGAATGAGACAAGGTGTGTCTCTCCTTTATGCCCAGCAAATTGGGGCACTACAGATTTGTCTGTTGATATATTGGTTCTCTTTTGGATAGACTTTTGAATTGTCTAAGGAAGAACTTCAGACATTTCATTCAACATCTGTTTGGCTGTCTCTGTTTGGCTGCATACCAGACACACCACACCAATCTGATTAATACTGGATTCGGAATGATATAGTAATAGCTTTAGAGAGAATAATGATTTGCAGGTTTAATTTCACAGGACATAATAAACATCCTTAAGAAAATAAGGAAACAACCACACGGAGCCCTTTACCAAGTTATAGCTGATCTGGTTGCAGTAACTAAATATTGCTACAATCTAATGGCTGTTCTGTGGTGGATTCAGTCCACCTGTTGGACAGGTGTCTGCATCACAACCTCGCCTCTACAATTAATTGCCCCGCTTATGGGCAGTTTCAGCAGAGATCAAGAATTACATGGGTTGTAAACTGTTTGGGGAGGGACCATCTTTTTGTTCCATATTTGTACAGAGCCTACCACAAGAGGTCCTGGTCAGCGACTGGGGCTCCTGGGTACTACCACAACACAAATAATTAATAATAATAATTGACTAGACATGGAAAGCAAACTCCCAACTTGCCGTGAGGTGGGGCACATTGACTGGGTGTGATGTGAGGGAAGATTGCTCTGATGCTAAAGGGAATGTACCTGTTCTGCAGATAGAATTCATCCTACAGGACTGACAACCTGGCAACTTTCACCAGCATTACGTTTCTCTTTTTTTAAAAAAATACCCAGACTGTTTACATTCTAATACCATCCTTTTATTGACTATTTCTTACACTGAGGTGGAACTCACTGGTAGCAGTTGTTGTGGAATTTGTTGTAGCTGGCAAAAGCTAGTAGGACCCCAAAACCTGGACCAAGAGAGAAGAAAATCTGAGCTGCAGCATCCACCCAGACCTGAAAAACGTAAGAGGCAGAGGATCAAGAAAGGATGATGTTAAACATAGAGCAAATGCCACTCTACAGTCCACTGATGCTGCGAATTAGATTCAACAGCCTGTATATAGTCTAGTCTTATTTTAACAAACATTTTATTAAGAGCTTGTTACATGGATCAAAGATTTTGTGCTGAAGTGTGACAAATACTTTTGTAGTTTTATGACAGAGGCAAATACCCAGCACAGTGAGGCCATCATACTTATTTTCACTTGTGGCATAATTAGGATTTATCCTTCGAGGAGGTCACCATAGGTGAAATGCTACCCCATTTCTATACACAACACAGTAAATATTCAGTAACAGTGGCAGCTACCAGTGTTTCACCCTTGACAGTATCCTAGGCTGACAGATGGCAGTCTTCCTGTAGCACATTGTTTTTGCATTGTAACTGTGTCTTTGTAATGGGTTTGGCCTGTCTTCCTTCCTCCAGGGTCTCTGTGCAGACGGACATCTGGAGTGCATTGCCCCATGTGTGTCTCTGGTTGCATGTCCTCTGGGCTAAAGCACTGTGGGATTGCTCCCTGGATTGATCCAAATACATTTGGTGGTGTAGGTACAACTCCAGCTGTGTGAACACAACTCAACCATGTTGTAGCCATGTCAGATAAAAGTGCGATGACCTGGTTACAAAAACACTGTGCTACGCTGGTCGGAGTCTTACTGAGTGGCGTCTCCAAACTGTTGATCTCTGTTCCATCCCTGAAAGGAAAAGTCCTGGTTCCTTTATTCCCTCTTGATTGCAACATGGAGTTCACTGCAGCTCGTTTCTAACATGCTCCTTCTGTGCGGCTAGCCTGCACCTCCCCTGGATAGAGCTCTGCTGCCAGCCAGCACACAGATTGCAATCTGCTGTCCTCACTTCAGATATATTCAATACAATACCAATATCCTTTATTGCTTTTAGGAAGACGTGGTTCCTTATTGGAGATGCTGCTTTATCAGAAAATGGTGTCTCTTCATTTCCTCTTCATTGAAAACTCTTCATATCAGCTGGGAAGCTGCAGACTCACAAACATTAGAGTTTGTAATCTTTGTATTTGTTGTATTTATTGCTTTGGGTTTTTTCCATCTCCCTCCCCATTAGCGACTTTCATGTGTAGTGAAGGAAACGCAGTCAACATCCTGATGGACTGAGTGCCTCTTCCACACGGGTTCAAATCTAAACCAGACACTGGGTTGACGTGTTGTTTTGTTTTATTATGGTCTCGTCCCCATACCTGCTCTCTCTCCTAAAGTTGGTAGTATTTGTAGGCCTGTGTGGTGTATTCCCTCTCCCCACACATTCACACCGGCCCAGCTGTCATCACTTCATCAGGCTTAGTGTGTTGAGTCTGAGGGTATGTCTACACTACGGGATTAATCCGAATTTAGATAATTCGAATTTGGGAAACAGGTTGTATAAATTCGATTGTGCGCGGCCACACTAAGCACATTAATTTGGTTTTTAACCACATTAATTCGGTGGTGTGCGGCCACACTACCCCATTAATTTTAACCACATTAATTCGGTGGTGTGCGGCCACACTAACCCTAATTCGAATTAACAAAATCGATTTTGGCGCTACTCCGCTCGTCGAGGTGGAGTACAGAAATCGATTTAAAGCGCCCTTTAATTCGAACTAAATGGCTCTGTTGTGTGGACGGGTGAAGGGTTAATTCGAATTAACGCTGCTAAATCCGAATTAATCCCGTAGTGTAGACCAGGCCTGATAGTCTTCCTGCTGTCCATGTCTGCATGGAGTATGTGGGAGATTTCCACCTGAGTCAAGCACCACTTGGCTGGAAAGGAGGGTCTCTTCGGGCTCATCTGCCAGAGTTTAGGGACCAATGGCTTGAGTTTTTTCGGTGGTGGCAATATGCACAATTCTGAAATGCAGGCACTGAGTCCAGACACCTGATAGTGGACTCCATTAAAGGTGATTTAGCCCATTCCAACATCTGCTGATTACCGGCAGTCAGCTGAGCTTCAGGGTATCCCACTAGTTTAGATTAAGGTTAGCTAGCAGAGTAGGACCAGAAGCAGTAACAGCTTGGTTATCTCTACCTTGCCTAATTGTTACAACTGCAAAAAACTTTGTACAAAGATTTAAAAGAATTGGAGTTCAGGGTTAAGCTTCAGAATCCATAAGCACCTATTTACTATGCTGACAGTAGCCTTGTTCTGAAAAGTGTACAAGTTTACAGGCTGAAATCAATTGCCCCTTTACAACAAGTTCCTTACCTCAGTGGCCAGGAGTTTCTGCCAGTCAGGCTTCAGGTAGAAAACAACCCCCCTCCAGGCTCCAGGCAGTGTGGCCCCTCGTATTAACAGGATAAAGAGTATGATGTAAGGGAACGTGGCAGTCACCCACACCACCTGTTAGAGAAAACATTAAGACAGTGTTTGCCATGGGTACTGATTGAGGGAAACTGCTAAGCGGTGATAATGGTAACAATGTCGAATGAACAGTAATATTTAGACTTATAACACCTTTCATTCAAAGTTGTCAAAGTGCTTTACAAAGACAATTACGTATTACTATACTTTAAATGAAGGAGAAAATATAGCACAGAGTAGTTAGATGACTTGCCCAACATCCTGCAGTGAATCAGTAGCAGAGCTAAGAATTAGAACCCAGGAGTTCAGACTCCTACTCCCCTCCTCTTAACAACTAGGTCACATTGCCTTCATTAATGCCCCCCAGGTCACTATTTATGGTGTGTTAGCTAGTTTATTCAACACCATAGGTCTGACTGCCCCACTGATAGTTATGCATTCTCAGAGGCAGTCAGCTCCAGCTTCTGAATCCAGGTTTGCTGTAGCTGTAGTCAGAAGACAGACGAGTTGCTTAATTTTATACCATCTGTGTGCACGACCACTGCCTTTTTTCATCTGAAAAGGGACTAACCTGGTTTAGTGGTTAGAGCAGGGAATGGGAGTCAGACTCCTACAATCCATTTCCAGCTCTGCTGCTCAATAATTGTCCAACCTTGAGTAAGTCACTGCAGCCAGAATTTTGAGAAGTGTCCACAAATGTTGGGTGCCTAACCTGGGACCCTTAGGCCCAGATTTTCAGAGCTGCTGAGTACTCACAACTCCAGATGTGGAGATTCAGAAATGCCAAGCTCAGCACCCCTGAAAGTCAGGCACTAACTGTCTCTGATTGGGCATTCAGAAATCAGGGCATGCAGAATTAGCTGACCCTTCTGAAAACATTGGTCTTAACCTTTCTGCACTGCAGTTTCCCCTTCTGTAAAATGGGAATAACAACACCAATCTTTGTAAGGTCCTCACATAGGAGGTTCTCTGTCAGTGGAAAGGTTTATTATTATGGTACTTATTATTTGTAAATGAATGTGTATTAAGCAGCCCTATTTTGGTAACATGGCTTGCTCTGACAGCAGATAGCAAGGCCCATCTGTAGAAAAAGAAACAATGGAACTGAGGCTCAACAGAGCAGTAATCGGAGATCACCCTCCACACCCGTTAGATCCCCTGGGTAGGATGATCTTTAAATGCAGAACAGCAACCCAACATGCTGTTAGCATGTATTATATAGATTACAGTAGCACTCACTATTCACATGTACGTGAATTTGCAGTCCCTGTCCTGAAGACAATTCTAAGCTTACTTTCTCGCATGTTAATAGGCTGCTCCAGACATGTTGCGGAAATTATGCTATACCAAGCAACTTCCTCTTGCTTTTGCATTCACCTTGCCAGATGTTTTGACCCCTTTCCAGATGCTGAAGTACACAATAGTGAATATCAACAATAAGCAGAGTGTCAGTTGCCAGCTAATGCCTCCCAGATCATCCAGCCCTTTGGATCTTTGCACCTGTAGAACGTGGCGGCTAAAACAGGAGAGAAAAGCACATTGTTGATGTGTGTGTAACAAATACAGAGAGTGCTTAGGCTCTAAATCACGAGAGATAAAAGACACCCCCATCCTACACATACCCACAACTGCATGCATTTTAATCCCTAGACAGTTTTAAAAAATCCATGCATGTGATTGATAAATACCCCGGTCACCCTCTAAAGAAAAGTCTGCTGCATTTTCTACCCTTCTTTCTGATATTGCTGTCTCCACTTACATGCACTTACGTATAAAATTCTTCTGCAGGGGAGATGGAGTGTGGGGTCCAGGTAATGCTGGCATTGGTGAAGTAGTTGGTGCAGTTGACGGTGTTCCAAGCATTTTTGCAGCTGGTCCATGGCAGCTCTGACGTGAAGGATGAAATGAGGTAGTAGAGGGCCCAAGCCATGATGGTATTGTAGTAAGAGGCTATGTAGAAAGCTATTATGCAGATAGTAAAGCCAATTCCTGGTAAGGCAGAAAACAGTTATGTGAGGGCCGGGTCCAGTAAAAGCAGGAGTGGATAATCCACGTGAACTAAAATCAGTAGCTGCCGGAGGCATCCAAATAGGTACACATACACCATTGCCTCCCTTTATATTTTTTTAGACTGCTCTGGAACTTTGTGGGGTCTTCAGAAAGTGGGGGTGATTTGCCCAAGCCCCACTTCAGAAAAGCATCCCTGTTCTGAACAGAACATGTGTAAATGCTAGCCTTATTCAGGACCCAGTCTCTGGAATGTTGACTGTGATGCATACCTCATCCTCCACACCCCTAACAACAAACCAACCAACCAAAACAGAACAAAATCTAACTCTGGTACTGGGAGCAAGGATAACAAGTCTGTAAAAGGCAACTATAAAAGATCCTCTAGTATCACTGCCAGTAGAGATGGCTGAGAGAAATGGAATGGAGCTGAAGGGTAATTTGTTTAAAAGATCTCTGGGATAAAAATAATGGATTTGCAATATTTTCCCCAACCTGTGTTTCTAATACCATTTCAAATATTAAAACTGGAATAATTTTGAAAGTTCAAGTTACTTTCACCCTTATAATGTTCTCTGTATGGGTTTGCATTTTTTTTCTGGCTTGGGACAGTGAAAGTAGAGTGGGTTGTTTCTAGTCAGTTTCACTCCCTGGTCTTCAGATTCTAGTAGGAGGCTGCATCCTTTGGATTGGAAAACAATTAGGGCAATGTTTATGTATATAAAACAACTTGACATTGCTTTTTTAAAAAGCACATGACTTTGAAAAGTAATTAATTCTAGGTTTCATGAAAGCTTTTCTTACATAACCTAAATGTGGGCCCTAAACCACTTGACATTAACCCTTCATGTTATCTCTTATTTTCAGTAATTGTTCCACCCTTAAAGAAAATCTCTGCCAGTTACCCTAAGGGATCATGGTAAGCTTCCTGTTCCCCTTACTACCTTTGAAAATAGGACAAATTTTCCTCCAAATTGAGATACACCCATTCCTGTGGTACTGTCCCAGTGCTAGCTCCATGTAAAAGAGGGGGATGCCTCCAAAGATGGCCATGATGGTGTACGGGATGAGAAACGCTCCTGCAAGAAAGAAAGGACATGACTGTAACTTCTTGTAGTACTTCTGGTGTAACAGTATCAGCACTTCATAAAGAGCAATTCTTCATGCCCCACAGCCAATACACACCACACTGCACTACGACAGTAAAATCTATGTGACCCCGTGATCTCGAGAGGCCAGTCCAGACAAACTTTCTGTAATGTCACAAAAACCGGAACTTGTGGGTTTGTTCCTGAAGGGAACCCTGTGACCCCTTTACTCACATTGGTGAGCAGTTACTCACATGACTAGTCCCATCATCCTCACATGAGGATTACTCATGCGAGTAACTGCTCACCACTGTGTGTGGCAACTATCTGTCCCGAAAGACAATGCCATAAGCACCAAAGCAGTTCAGTTACTGTATGTCAGGCTGGAGTATCATTAATGGCTAAAAGTCCAATTCTCAGGTGCCACAGGTAATGCTCACCACTGTGAGGAAGGTCATAATCTGGCTCTAAGTTTCCAGTGGAATGAAGTTGTGAACTATTGTAAGACTGTCTCCTAGCAGGCACTGTCAACAATACTATTCCCAGGCTTCTGTACCCAAACATACAGGGAATTCACAAAGAGTTTATTGGCTACCATGGATGCGGCAGCAGAATGGGGCAAAAGATAAAAGAATTTCTTCCTCTGGTACAATGCCTAGGTGCATTAAGGGGATATAGGTCCTTCTTCAGTGTACTCACTGGTTACAATCATTGTTTGATTGTACTGAGCACCTGTAGCATTGACATTTTCTGGTATATTGGTTAATCTGAATTTAAATGTTTCTGGGAGACTGTTCCACAGTCCAACTGATCTTAGGGTCAGGATGTTTTGCCTAATCTTAAATCTACATTTTCCTTTTCTTATTTTCATCCCATGCGTTCCAGCTATACTGGATCTTGCATCATTCTAGATAATTCCTCTTCCACCTTTGTGTTTATAGCCCTCATCTATTAGTTGATGTATATGTCCCAGCAACCCTTATCTGATTCTAGACATATTTTGCTCTTTTAATCTATCTCATAAATACTGCCCTACCAAGTTCACGGCCATGAAAAACACGTCATGGACTGTCAAATCTGACCTCCCCCCGTGAAATCTGGTCTTCTGTGTGCTTTTATCCTATACCATACAGATTTCATAGGGTAGACCAGTGTTTCTCAAATTGAGGGGCCAGACCCAAAAGGGAGTTGCAGGGGGGTCACAGTATTGCTACCCTTACTTCTATGCTGCCTTCAGATCTGGGCAGCCGGAGAGCGGCGGCTGTTAGCCAGGCACCCAGCTCTGAAGGCGGCACCCTGCCAGCAGCAGCACAGAAGTAAGGGTGGCAATACCATACCATACCACCCTTCTGTGCTGCTGCCTTCAGACCTGGGCGGCCAGAGAGTAGCAGCTGCTGATTGAGGACCCAGCTCTGCAGGCAACAGCACAGAAGTAAGGGTGGCAATACCCATACCATTCCATCCTTACTTCTGCACTGCTGCTGGTGGCAGCTCTGCCTTCAGAGCCGGGGTCCTTGCCTGCAGTCACCACTCTCCAGCTGCCCAGCTCTGAAGGCAGCGCCGCTGCCAGCAGCAGCACAGAAGTAAGTGTAGCAGTACTGCAACACCCTCTACAATAACCTTACAATAACCACACACACACACACACACACACAATTCCTTCATGGGTCAGGACTCCTAAAATTACGACACCGTGAAATTTCAGATTTTAATAGCTGAAATCACGAAATTTATTATTTTTTAAATCTTCTGACCGAGAAATTGACCAAAATGGACCGTGAATTTGGTAGGGCCCTACTCATAAATCAGTTCCTCTTGCCCCATAATCCCTTGTTGCTTACTTTTGGTCTCATAGGTTTAACTTGAGCCATAGAAGTGACCCATTTATACTCAAAGAAGCCAGCTTCTAAGGAATGGCATATAGGGCTGAGCACTGACCTCCTCCATTTTGGTAGCATATATAAGGAAATCGCCATACATTGCCCAGATCCACTGCATAGCCAATGACAGAGAGAAGAAAGTCCATTTTTTTACTCCAGGTCTCTCTTTCCTCCAGCTCCAGCAGCTGTGGTTGAGCCTCCACTCCACAAGTGGTGGAAGTGGTGGTGGTGGTGGTAGTGGTGGCTGCTGGGGCCGTGCACTGGACATCTTCCCCATCTCCTATTCCATTGCAAGGAACTGGGCTCTGAACCACTGAGTAGCCATTGGAGATCTGACCTGCTTCCCCTTTATCTCCATGGCTGGGGTGGACCTTATTCCCATCCTCCACCAGCTGCAGGGCGGATTTAGGGTTCTTGACCAGGAGTCCATTCTCTTGGCAATCTTCACCTTCCGTACAGTCCAAGAGCTCTTTCTTAGAAGTAAGAGTCTGGGTCTCATTGCTGGATGACTTCTCCATTCTGCTGGTTAAAAGATGGTGCTGCTGTCCATTTGTGAGTGACCTGGACTAGAATCCCCTTGTGTCAAGTGGCTGCTTGAAGCTCTGTCTTCCCACTGCCGCCAGAAACTCTCTTGTCTTTACGTCCACTGGACTGCAGACACACACAGCTTCAAAGAAGCAGAAAAAGAGTTGAACTCTGTTACAAGGATTGCTGGTGCTGGTGGCTGTACAGGTATAGCTACTACAGGTATGGTGAGTAAAACATATTATTTTAAAATAAAACCACCCTAAAAGAGATAAGTATCATTTAGGGGACAATCCTGTGATCAGTCAGTGTGTCTCAAACTGAGGAGAACCACAAAGAAAGTGGGGGCCTAATCCTCCCCCTCCAGCTGCAGAACAGGAGTGGAGCCACCCCCTGTAGCCAATCACTTGTGACCCTCCACACCATGGGAGAGATGAGGAGAGGACTGCAGGCTCTGTGGAGTGACAGTTCCCCTGTCCAGCTTGTTCCCTAACTTGTCCAGCACATGTGCCCTACAGGGTTCACTGCATTCCTGGGGAGGCACAGCCCAGCATGCTCCTTGTACAGCAGAACCACACCAGGGTCACAATCAGGGCAGCGGCGTAGGCAGGTTCTAAGAGTAGGGGGAGCAAAAATTAAAAAGGCGCCCCCCCTTGGCTCCTCCTCTGGCCATGCCCCCTTGGCTCCTGCAGCTGCTCCGCGCCCCCCCCCCCTGGCTGGCCCCCCCCGCCCGGCCGTGCCCCCCCCCCCCCCCCCCCCCATGGTTCCTCCGGCCGTGCCGTGCCGCCCCCACAGCCTCCCCATGGCTCCTCCGGCCATGCCGTGCCACCCTCGCGGCCCCTCCATGGCTCCTCCGGCCGCGCTGCCCCCCCCCCATGGCTCCTCCGGCCACGCTGCGGGCTGCCATGCTGCGCCCCCCCCTCGCTCCTCCGGCCGCCCCCACGGCCCCCCCCATGGCTCCTCCGGCTGTGCTGTCCCCCCTTGCCTGCAGGAGCCCAGTGCCGGCCCGGCAGGCCAAGCTTCAGAGCGGAGCGTGGGCCCCGCCCACTGGCGCCATGGTAACCACTAACTAAGGCGCCACTTTTGGAAAATGTGCTGAGGGGAAGCGGCTGCTTCCCCTGCACCCCCCCAGCTATGCTACTGAATCAGGGCCTCCATCCTGACTTGCACAACTGGGGGCAGAATTTGCTGGCTATTCAGCCTGCATTTTCCTTTTCATAATTGCATCTCATGACTTCTAGCTGTACTGTTTGAGGTGCTCACGTCCCTAAGGAAAAGATAGCAAGTGTTACTTAAACAAATCTTTACATATTTGCAAATTATTTTTCATATTCACATCTCTCCAGAAGTCTCACCAGAGATTTCTTGCAAAATCAGCCACATTTGGCAGATCCAAGAGGTTTAAGGGGAGGTTCAGTTAAGTATCCAAACCGCAAGGTACTTATCTGAATTAAGAACATTCTCAAATCTTTTGAGGTTCCATGCAATATTAATAAGCGGGGAAGATGGTCAGGGCTACTTTAATTTTTTTTTTAAACAGCGAAAAAGAAATAGCAAATGGAAGTTATTTAGGTGCTCGACTAACAAGTGAGAGATTCATATGCTTATCTTTACAAATTAAATAACAGCACTTCTATTTTGGAGACCCATCTTCAGGTTTATCTTGGGTCTGAAAGCTAGACTCGTGGAGAGGAGACCAGTCTGGTAGCAAAGCATTACTGGAAAGGACATCCTACTAGGATCAGTTTTGTGCTTTCCAAGCGTATTTAAAGTCTCTCATAGACAATACAATGCAATGACCTAACATAGCGGAAAACTCTTTGTAAATAGTGTCCTCCCAGGAGCAGTGTTCCTCCCTTTCCCTTGCGTGGGGTGCTCTCGTCTCCCTTTATGCCGTAGTTTGTTTTCATTTCCTGGTAATCTCTGGCTCATTTAGGGCTAGCTTGTCACAGCCCTTACTTGAGTGCTCGAGGCAGTAAGCCCCCCACCCTTTCTCATGTTTCGTGTGCTCTGTTTGTGACTCCAGCTATGCGGGGAGAGTAGGGGCTACTCAGATCAGACTCCCCACTGCAAGTAAGGGGGCAGGCGGTGGGAGGAGCCCTGGCTTCACCTCCCTCTCCTCCCACTTGCCCTCCAGAATACCCCAAGGGAAGCAAGGTGCTCATGGAGAAGGGGTAATTACTTCTCCTTCAGAGCAAGGAAGGAGTGGGAGAGGAATTGTGACTTTGTTCTGGAGTCTGCTGCTGGGGTGATGCAACTGTGCCTCACCCCTTACTCAGGGGAGAGAATAAGGGAGCAATTTAGCTCTTGTACTGTAGGTTTCTTGGGGCATGGACTTTGTCTTCTTTCTGCCTGCAAACTGCTATGCACACCACTGCATGCCATGAAATATATCAAATTATAATTATTGTGTGGCACTTCTCATTTTCAAAGCACTTTACAACAGCAAATAATGACCATAACACCCCATGAAGAGGAATAAGTATTCCCTCAATTTTACAGATGAGAAAACTAAGGCAGAGAGGTGAAGCTACTAGCTGAATGTTAGAGAGGGAGTCATTGTTAGAGCCAGGATTAAAACCCAGGGGTTCCCGACACCCAGTTTTGTGCCCAGACAGCTAGATCCAAATCTCTTCCTACTCATGGAAGGATGTAAGAGGAAGTGAGTTGTCAAGTAAGAAGCTGTCAAGATTAGATCCCTGGAGGTATGAATAGAGCCTACTAATTCACAGCTACCTTATCAGTTCTTCATTCATACAGTATACACTCCTCAGTCACCCAGATATTCGTCTTAGGCACTGTATAGTTAACACCCAATTCTCATAATAGTATTTAATGATATTTTACTAATGTAAGTTAATCATCCACAAAGACTGAAACATCTTCAAAGTCCCAGCAAAAAATAATTATACAGCAAAGACGAGTGGTTTCTGTTTTACCTGCAAGACTATAAAAACTGGGCATCTTTGGAGTCCAAACCCTTGCCAGTCTCCCAGAGGAACTCATACAGTTTAGGAGGACCTTCACGCCATGGATGTTAACATAAAAGATCTAGGTAAGGCCAGAGCCACTCCTTCTCTTCTTTCGGCATCGAGGGTGTGGTACAAATCTGGAGAAGTAATCTGAGCCGTACTGGACTTTACACTTGTACTAGTAATCTAGAAAGCAATAATGGATGTTTAGCTGACTACACACCTCGTGTGACTGAACTTTCCATGCCTTGCACATCAGCATTTAAGGTATCTCTAGTCAACCTCCATCTCCTCCTACTTAAACTGTGTTGGGCTCTGTTCCCATTCGAGTCACCATCCTTTATTGCTCATTTATGTCTCCCAATGGCTAATTGGGAGATATACATTGATATCTTTGTATTCCAGAAGGAATCTCTTACTGCACTGTTCCTCAAACCAGTCCAGTGTTTGGTTGAGATTAGACATGATCTGTGCCCTTGGACAACTGCACTCTAATTGTGTGCAGCTCCAAAGCCACAGTGGCTAATGTATCATACCTGGATATTTCTCAGCCATCATTAACCAAAATCACTTTTGACAGGGTGCAGAATCCCTAAGCTAGCACTGATGGACAGAAAGCCACTCCCAGCTAAATTCTCCTGCTAACATCTCAGCAGAGGCAGGGCATTGGATTGAGGGCTCAATAAAGAGCTCAAGACAAGATTTGCAAAGGTGTTTAGGTGCCTAAAGATGCAGAAAGGCACCTAGTGGGATTTTTGAAAGCACCTGAGCAGTCTTATTTTGCATTGAAATCAATGGGAGCTGGGTACCTAACCATTCTGAAATCCTACTAGGTACCTTATGCATCTTCAGGCGTAAATACCTTTGAAAATCTGGCCTTCAGTGTTTAAAGGGGGGTGCACAGATGTTAGCAGGGAACACACTAAATCTGGAACCTCAAGGAAGGCAGCTCTCCATACCACACTGCAAAGATTGAGTTGGTTGGAGCCTGAGCAGCCTATTTAAATTTTCTTGTAAACTTGTTCAACGGGACAATAAAGACATTATATTTATGAAAATCACAGTGGGCAGCCATCCCTTACAATGGAAATATACAGTTCAAACACAATATAAATGTCCTGGAAATGCCACCAGCCCTGCCCACCACTTCCCCAAAAGCCGAGGGGGCGGAGGGGGGAGGGGGCAGGTGGAAGCTCCATGTGGAAGGCTCTGTTCTCGGACAGCATTAAAGAGCCCTCCCAGTTTACACAAGCTTTCCATATATAACAGAAAATAAGGTATAGGCCACTGCTGGTGGCAGGGTATATGGTTAAATCAAGCAATGATGTTCTCTAGTATTGCAGTTCCTCTGCTCCTAGACAGAGACCTAGCCTGAATTCCCTGCAAGTAGTATCCTATACAAGATGTGTCGATGATTTCACGGAGATCGTCCTGCACCTGCTGGAAAGCAATTAAAAGGAAGTGGTTTTATGGCAAGACATGGGGAAATGCAACATCCAGAGAGAAACACTGAGTTAAACAAATGTATTACACATGCTTAAGGCTACGATTTGGTCACAGAGGTCATGGAAGTCACGGAATCCATGACTCCCAGAGACCTCTGTAACATTTTCGCTTTAGTCCCAGAGTGGCAGGGCTGGAGCTGTCAGCCGACAGGGACTCCCCTGCAGCCATGGGTGACTGGGGATCCCCGCGGCCCCAAGCCCACAGCTCCCAGCTGCTACCAGCAGCAGGGGGGACCCCACACTCTCCGCCACCGTGGGTGGGGGGACCCTGGAGCCCCAGCAGCAGTGGGTGCTGGACCCTGTTCCTTCCCCATTTTGTCATAATTATTTTTAATAAAAGTCAGGGACAGGTCATGAGCTTCCATGAATTTTGGTTATTGCCGATGCTTGTCCATGACTTTTACTAAAACTAACCATAACAAAATCTTAGCCTTACACATGCTGCATCCTTTTATCATTTTTATTGCCTCTTTCCAATCACTGTCACTGGATTCTGTGTCTCCATCCCTCTGCTATTATTCCAAGGCAGGGAACTTGGGCCCTTTAGGGTATGTCTACACTGCAGTAAACACCCATGGCTGGCCTATGTCAGTTGACTTGGGTTTACCGGGCTCAGGCTACAGGGCTGTTTAACTGAGGTGTAGTCGTTCGAGCTCAGGCTGGAG